TTCGACAACGAAGACGAGGCAGACTTGCTGTTTGGTGCGACCCACATTCGCACGTGGGCAATGTGGTGCGCAGAGCTTTGCAAGCGGTTTGAGCATGCTCTTGACTCAGACAATGCGCGCGAGACTCTACGCATGTGGAAGCAGCTGGGATCAGTGTCCGAGTACACCGCGTCATTCTTGACGTTAGTGGACAGATGTGGCTACATGCACGAGTTGCAGAAGGTTGACAGGTACATGGGCGGGCTGAAGCCTGAAATACAGTACCAGATAAAACTACAACGCCCTGCAAAGCGGTTACAAGACTTCATCCAGCTCGCCGAAGCCGCTGATTCGCTCACGAAGCCGAGGACGAACTTCTACGATAGAGGTCGCCCTCGAGAACAGTATTGGCGCGCCACGAAAAAAGGGATGGACGCAGTGGATATTTGCGCAGTTGCTCCGCGGAATACGGGGCTATGCTACCACTGTGGCCGACTGGGTCATATCCAACGCAACTGCCAAGAATTCATAGCCCTCCAGAATTCTATGGGGAAAAAGTCGGAGGAGCGACCGGGAAATGGGTCGTGTCAGTAAGTACCGGGCCCCTTACTGACGGCCAGGCTTCTTCGCCCGAGCCACACAGTCCCCACCGGGTCGTGATCCCAATTGCTGCAATCGACTGGACTCGGACGAATAAGGGGGACGAAACTGCTGATCACCCTGTGTTGGTGGAGGGTAAAGTCAACGGAGTGTTGCTGAAGATTTTCGTGGATGGAGGCGCGAGTCATAGTCTCATACAGCTGGACAGGGCTAAAAAATTGGGTATTCCTTTACTCAAGTGTCTACCCGAAATTAACGCCCGACTGGTGGATGGAACACCGCTGGCGATACGGGAGCGAGTGGAGAACGTCAATTTTCATTGCGGGGAGCACGTAAAATTTCGGATGGGGCTGCTGGCGACTACACTCGACAGTTGCGACGTGCTGCTGGGACGGGATTGGCTGCGACAATACATCCCGAAGATCGACTGGACGACGGGCGGCTGCAGCATAAAACTCGATGGGATCCCTCGCGAGCTACCGAAATGGACGGGACCTCGCATGCGAAGCACCCAAGTCCATGCGATAACTTTCAAGCGCGCAATAAAAACGGGAGTTGCAGCGTACGTCGTTGATCTTCGCGAGGTGCCATCGACTACAACAGCCGAAGATATCGCGAAGCTGTGCGAAACCGTTCCTCCGGATTTAGCGGACCTGATTAAAAAATACCCCGAGATTTTCCCGGACGACTTGCCCGCTGGACTTCCGCCGAGCCGACCAGAAGACCATCGCATCGAGCTGGAACCAGGCGCCCAACCGACAGTACAGCGACAATTTCGGCTCAGCCAACCAGAATTGGAAGAATTGCAGCAACAGCTGGATTACCTTATGACTAAGGGATTTATCTGGCCCAGCACGTCCCCATACGCCGCCCTGGTCCTATTCACACCGAAAAAGGACGGAGGATTCCGCATGTGCATCGATTACCGCGCGCTCAACAGAATCACAATCAAGTCGCGTTACCCGATCCCGCGAGCCGACGAACTACTCGACCAACTTCACGGAGCCAAGTTCTTCTCGAAAATCAACTTGCAAGGGGGTTACCATCAAATTCGCATCGCCGCTGACGATTGTCACAACACCGCATTTCGTACCCGCTACGGCAGTTACGAATACTTGGTGATGCCTTTTGGCCTCACGAACGCACCCTCGACTGTTCAGATGACCATGAACGACATTTTCAGGGAACTCTTGGATAAATGCGTTATTATCTACCTCGACGACTGCAGAGTTTTTTGGGTTTCGTCAACTACGTCCGCCGAGCACACCTAATATGGCTGGGTTATCTGCCCCGCTAACCGACCGACTCAAGGATCACGCTTGTTTTTGGTGGGGAGAGAAGCAGCAAGCTGCGTTCGACCAACTGAAGATCGCCCTCACGTCGCCGCCCGTCCTTCGCATCTCCGATCCTGACCGTCCATATGAAGTCATCATAGACGCCAGCGACATCGCCATCGGGGCAGTTCTCCTACAGGACTTCGGCGACGGATTGCAGCAAGTCGCATGCGAATCATGGAAGCTGCAGGGCGCGAAAAAAAACTATACGGTACACGATAAGGAAATGCTGACGATCGTCCACGCGCTCAAGACCTGGCGGTGCTACCTGACAAGCGCTGACGTCACGGTGCGGACCGACCACAAATCCCTCAAGTACCTGCGAGCCCAACCGAATCTCAACCCGCGATAGATCCGATGGCTTGATTTCCTCGAGTCGAATTTCCACTACACCATCACCTACAAACGGGGTGCCAACAATATTGCCGATGCCCTGACTCGACTCGCTGCCCATACCGCCGCTATACTAGTCGCCCAGACCAGCCCATTACTTACGGGAATATTTACCCACGGCTACAAAATCGACCCTTTCTTCCGCTCTGCGATCCATCAACAGCATACCACCGCCACCGGACACTATTTTAATAAGCGTGATACTTCTCGTATCTGGGTGCCCGGCTACGATTTACTCCGCACCCTTCTAATACAGGAATCCCACGACAACCCTACCTCCGGGAATTTCGGAGTCGACAAAACTATTAAGACGTTGCAGCGCAACTATTATTTGCCGAACATGGCCGACGACGTGCGTAATTATGTGTCCTCCTGCACCGCCTGCCAGATCATGAAATCCTCCCATCAGCGAGCAGCTGGACTACTACAGCCATTGGATCCGCCCGAGCTACCCTGGCAACACATCACGATGGACTACGTGACAGGATTGCCGGCCGGTCAAAGCGGAAACGACGCCATCCTCATGGTCATTGACCGACTCACAAAAATGGCGCACTTCATCGCCTGCCAACAGTCGATTATAGCTGAGCAAACTGCCCAACTGTTCATCGCCAACGTCATTCGACTACATGGACTGCCTACCGCCATCATTTCGGACCGAGACCCGAAATTCACATCGAATTCTGCACCACCTGTGGGACCAATTCGGCACCAAACTACACTTTTCCTCCGCCTACCATCCACACACCGACGGGCAGACCGAACGAGTCAACCAAACTATGGAGCAACTCATTCGGACTACCTGTACTGACCCACAGACATGGGAGAAATCCTTTCCGCTGCTGGAATTCACGTATAATAACGCGCCCTCCGCCACAACCCATCAGTCCCCATTTTTCCTCAACTACGGACAAGACCCAGTAGTACCCTCTACAACGAACATCGAGACGCCCGTGCCCCGGTCCCAGAAATTTGCTGAAGACATTCTTGCGGCCCGAGAAAAAGCAGCTGAGGCAATCAGGAAAGCCAACCTGGTCGCAAGCCGACAAGCCGATCGCCATCGACGTGACGTCACTTACAAAGCGGGAGATCCTGTCCTCCTCGACACTCGCAATTTGCGTCTGCCAATCCCGAGCAAGCTCCGACCCAGATTCTGTGGGCCTTTTCAAGTGACAAATATGGTGACACCTGTCACGGCTCACCTCCGACTCCCGGCTGATTGGCGTCACCACCCGGCTTTCCACGTCAGCCTCTTACGGCCCTACGTCCCCAGTTCGTCGGAATTGGCACGCCAACGCGGTGTACCGCAGCTGACGCCCCTGCAGGAACCGACGACCGAGCCCTTGAAAATTCTCGGCCATCGAGTCACGACGCAGCTAAACCGTCGGATGGTTGATTTTCTCGTCCGCCGGCGCGATCGCACGTCCGAAGATGACAGCTGGGTGCCGCTCGCTGAACTAGAATCACACCCGATTCTAACAGCGTACTATCAGCATCGGAATGTCTCCGATGCCCGCAGTCTCGTTTAGGAGGGGGGGGTAGTGTAAGGAATTTCCATTCCTTACTGCGTCGTACACCCGAACTTCTCGACTCGTCACGTTCGGCCTCAATTATCGGCCCAACCCTTTCCCGAGTCGCGTCCGGCACTGTAGACACATTGCCGAACCTAACCACGTTCCGAGGTTATCGCCCTAGAACGCCAACCCCTATATAACCTCGTGCCTTCATTGCAATAGTGACCTTGTATTCTCACGTTATAGTACATTGACACTTCCTATATCATAACAGGAATGTGAAGTGTTACACATTAATTAGTTCGGTAACCGCTTTGCCTCTCAGGCACGGCCTTTCACCCACTACCTCATCTTTCACCTGTTCTTGTCAGTCTCTGGGTCGGCGTTAGCCATGGCGGCCGAGATGGTGATTAGGTGAGCGCACTTACGTATTCGCAGAATCAGAGTATGTCGATCACTCCCGCTATCTATTAGCATCCCTCCCGTTGTAACGAAGTCTTCGTTCCGCACAATGCGCTAGCCTCGATGCCATTCCTCGCTGCTGCCTTCACTCGTTACAGTTGCACTCGATAAGCGAGTGGGAAGTCACAGTGCAAACGATACGAAATACCCGATACTGTTTCGCGAATCGTCTGCAGCATTCTCTCGCGTGTTTCGTCTCAGTCGTTTTGGAGGCTCGCCTCGTCCTCCGGAGCTGCGTGCCAGCAGCGCGCCACCCGCGGGGACCGACTGCAACTGACCCGATAGGCCTGGGACCGCGTTGCCTCTCCTCTCCAGTCGTCTGATCCGTGCCGCCACTGCCCCCCCGGCGCCATGGATCGCGCGGGCGGGCCGTCGCGCATGCGAGTGCAGCAGCAGCTGCAGCAGCCGCTGGTGGTGACCGTCAGCGCCATCATGGCCGCGTGCCTCGTGCTCATGGTGAGACGACACGCGCACGGTGAGACGACACGCGCATGGTGAGCCGACACGCGCATGGTGAGACGACACGCGCATGGTGAGACGACACGCGCATGGTGAGACGACACGCGCATGGTGAGACGACACGCGCATGGTGAGACGACACGCGCATGGTGAGACGACACGCGCGTGGTGAGATGACACGCGCATGGTGAGACGACATGCGCATGGTGAGATGACACGCGCATGGTGAGATGACACGCGCATGGTGAGATGACACGCGCATGGTGAGACGACACGCGCATGGTGAGACGACATGCGCATGGTGAGATGACACGCGCATGGTGAGATGACACGCGCATGGTGAGATGACACGCGCATGGTGAGGCGACACGCGCACGGTGAGACGACACCAAGGTGCAAAAAAACGGTTTCCGTATTAAACGGTCCGTTTTATACGGTCGTTTTACACGGTGGAATTGTGTAAATTCTGCCGTTTTTTTGTTAGAGGTATTTATTCCCAAAAACAAAAACAAAAAACGCTGGGAAACAGAGGGCCTGGTCGCGGCGACAGCCTACATGCATCTAAAACATCATCCGCTTCCTCCTAGATCTCCTAGTCCTCCTCCTACTAGGTCCTCCTACTCCGGCTCTGCTCCTCCTCCTCCCCCTAGTCGTCATCCTCCAACGTCCGATTTGGCCAACGAGACTTTTACGCTTTACTTGATCGCGTGGTTCGATATAAAGCGAACCCCCCTTTTTAACAGTGGTACGAAATAAACGATCGTATAAAACGACCGTTTTTTTGCACCAGTTGCAAAACACCACTTTTTATCGTATAAAACGACGGTTTAAAACGATTCCGTTTTATATGGTAAAAAAAGGTTAAAACCGGCGTTTTTTTGCACCTTGGACGACACGCACATGGCGACGTGAGCCGACTGTGATGAGAAAGAATGGCGGGGGTGCGTTGAGAGATTGACGGTGAGGCAACTGTCCGATGGCACACGTTTTGTCCTGTGTCTCGTGTATGATGCCACACAGGCAGTGCGGTGAGGCACACAGGCAGTTCGGTGACTCGTGAGGCACACAAGCAGTGCGGTGAGCAGTGAGCAGGAGCATGGTGCTGTCTTCACGGGGATGTGTGCCGTGGTGCAGGCGGTGATGGCAAGCACTGGACCTGCGCTGCTCTTGAAACCCAAGCACTGGACCCCGCTGCCCCGCTGCAATGCGCACTGGGGCGTGTGCAGCAGCAGGCGCGCACATCCACAAAAACTGAATCATGCTGCCACCCCCACTGCGCCAAGCATCCTCTCTGCGCCAAGCATCCTCTCTGCGCCAAGCATCCCCTCTGCGCCAAGCATCCCCTCTGGCGTTTCACCCCCTCTCTCTCTGGCCCTTTCGTTGCTGCATCCTTTTCTTCCCTCTCCTGCCTCCTCTCTCCCACTGCTTCCACCCACTACCACCTTTCCATCCCACCCCCCCTTCCCCCGGCAGTACCTGCTCGTGTCGCGGCACCTGGCGAGCATGGACCAGATCGCCCTCGCGCTCACCGAGAGGTACTGCTCATGCCCACCACGGTAGGCGCGCCCTCGCATGTGCGCTGCTCTGCTGCACGCCATGCCGGTCATCCCGGTTCACTCGTGACCCGTCCACCCCCTCTCACCCTCGTAACGCCTTGCATCCCGTTATGCCTCGTATGGATCCTTCCTTCTGACCCCCCCTCACCATCCCAGCCCTGCACGTCCAGATGGCCACCCCACACCCCGCCCGCGGAATAGAGCAGCCTGAGAGAGAGCTGCTCTCTGCTTCGCTCCATGCGTGCTCGCTGCGTGCCTCCCCTCCCTTCCTCCTCCCCTCCCCCCTCCCCCGTGTGCCCACTGCCCAGCATATCGGAGCAGACGACGAACCAAGCCAACGACCTGAAGCAGCTGGTGGCGGCCCTTGAGAACCACACGTACTCCGTGGCGGCGGCCGTCACGGACCACGTGGCCGTGCAGACCGTGCAGCTGCGCCAGCTGGCGGGCGAGCTGAGGAACCACTCGCACTTCGTGAGGGAGCACGTGAGCCAGCACGTGGACGCGCAGCAGGCGCAGCTGGGGGAGGTGGTGGCGGAGCTGCGGGCGCGCATGGGCGAGGTGGCATCCGCCGTGATGGCGCCCCCAGCCTTCCCCCAACCCGATGCCGCCATCACCGCCTCCAACCTCACCCTGCTCGTCGCCGCCGGCCTCCGATCGCAGGTGGGGTCCGATGGCAGGTGGGGTGAGGTCCCAGGTGTGGATGTGTGGGTGGGTGGATGGGATGGGAATGACAGCGTGGGGGAGAAAGGTAAGTCAGTTTGGGATAAGCCGTGCAAGTAAGACTCGTTCGGCAGCGATGGCTGGCGCGGTGGCGAAGGAGAGTGGCGGGTGCCAGGTGGCAAGTGTGGCGTCACATCGGCGAGACACCTTCCCTCTGACCACTCGTACGGTCCCTCTCACCATGAGATGAGGGGCGATGAGGGGCGATGAGGGGCGATGAGGGGTGATGAGGGGTGATGAGGGGTGATGAGGGGCAATGAGGGGCGATGAGGGGCGATGAGGGGTGACGAGGGGCGATGAGGCGTGATGAGGGGCGATGAGGGGCGATGAGGGGTGATGAGGCCATGAGTGTGCTGGGATGGGCTGGACAGAGGTATGAGTGCACGTGGTGGTCTCGCATGCCTGTCTATGTGGATGTAAGTGCTCCCGCATGCAGCCTCACTGTGCTGTCATGTCAGCTGTATGCAGCCTCACTGTGCTGTCATGTGAGCTGTATGCAGCCTCACTGTGCTGTCATGTCAGCTGTATGCAGCCTCACTGTGCTGTCATGTCAGCTGTATGCAGCCTCACTGTGCTGTCATGTCAGCTGTATGCAGCCTCACTGTGCTGTCATGTGAGCTGTATGCAGCCTCACTGTGCTGTCATGTCAGCTGTATGCAGCCTCACTGTGCTGTCATGTCAGCTGTATGCAGCCTCACTGTGCTGTCATGTCAGCTGTATGCAGCCTCACTGTGCTGTCATGTCAGCTGTATGCAGCCTCACTGTGCTGTCATGTGAGCTGTATGCAGCCTCACTGTGCTGTCATGTCAGCTGTATGCAGCCTCACTGTGCTGTCATGTGAGCTGTATGCAGCCTCACTGTGCTGTCATGTCAGCTGTATGCAGCCTCACTGTGCTGTCATGTCAGCTGTATGCAGCCTCACTGTGCTGTCATGTCAGCTGTATGCAGCCTCACTGTGCTGTCATGTCAGCTGTATGCAGCCTCACTGTGCTGTCATGTCAGCTGTATGCAGCCTCACTGTGCTGTCATGTCAGCTGTATGCAGCCTCACTGTGCTGTCATGTCAGCTGTATGCAGCCTCACTGTGCTGTCATGTCAGCTGTATGCAGTCTGTGCCATGTGCGTCACACAGTGCTTGTAGCGGAAGCATGCCGCAATGTGCATATGCTACGGTTCATGGCCCATGGCAGTGCGAGGTCGTGCGTGCATGCACTCTGTGGTTCCGTGTCTTTCATCCATCCCCTGTGTTGTGCCGTGTGTTGGCCCGCCATCCCGCCGTGTGTGTGGAGCAGCGGCGCACGGAGCAGGCGGTGGGCAAGCTCATGGCGCAGGTCGCCAAGCTGACCGCCAGAGACGTGAGAGCCGCTTGTGTTTCCGCTGCTAATTCCGTTGCTCCCATCTTGCCATACATGGTCGTCCCCACGGCTCAACCATCCAATCCTATGAATCCCGTGCTCTCATGCTCCTCAATGTCCCCACGGCCCCCATACCCCCAGAACTCCCATGCCCCCACTATGTTATAACCCGATGCCTCTATACCTCCCCATGCCATCCGGTTCATCCGTCCCCAACCGTCCCCATGGCGCGGCACGGCATGCGAGCAGCAGGACGAGGAGGGCGGGCTGGCCACGCAGACGCTCAAGGAGGTGGTGTCGGCTGCCAAGAAGCAGATGCAGCTCTCCAGGTCGCTGCAGGTTGCCCCACCACCCTGCTGCCCTTCTCCCTGCGCGCGCCTGCTCTGTGATCGCCGTCCACCTTGCCTCTGTGATCGCCTTCCACCTTGCCTCTGTGATCGCCTTCCACCTTGCCTCTGTGATCGCCTTCCACCTTGCCTCTGTGATCGCCTTCCACCTTGCCTCTGTGATCGCCTTCCACCTTGCCTCTGTGATCGCCTTCCACCTTGCCTCTGTGATCGCTTTCCACCCTGGCTCTCACTGCATGCACGCGCAACACCTCCGCCCACTCTCCCTCGCTCTTGCGCACCTCGTTTCCCTAAACGCAAGGCGATGGGCAGCAAAGAGCACGGAGCATGCTTTCGAATCTCGCCGGACATGGTTTTGGGACTAGGAAATGTTGCGCTGCCTCTCTGTTGCGCTGCCTCTCTGTTGCGCTGCCTCTCTGTTGCGCTGCCTCTCTGTTGCGCTGCCTCTCTGTTGCGCTGCCTCTCTGTTGCGCTGCCTCTCTGTTGCGCTGCCTCTCTGTTGCGCTGCCTCTCTGTTGCGCTGCCTCTCTGTTGCTCTGTGGCTCTCATCCCCCGTTTCTTCTGTGCTCCTTTTGGTCAACTGCAACTTCCCTCGCGGTCCTCTCATCACTCCCTACCCGCCCCGTGCTCTCTCTTGCGCCCCGTGCTCTCTCTTGCGCACGTACCCTGTCGTTTGACCGGGGCGTCTCCCCCCCGCCGTGTGTGCTTGTGGCGGGGCAGGGCACGGTGGAGGGGCTGGCGGAGCGCGTGGAGGCGCAGGCGCAGCTGCGAGGCACAGAGGCGTCGCCACAGGTGGGGGGGAGGGGGGAGTGCAGGGCGGTGAGAGCAAGGTGCAAAAATACGGTAATCGTATTATACGGGACGTTTAATACGGCCGTAATTTTCGGCAAATTTATGAAAAAAACGCCGTTTTTTTGTTTGACAAGTTTTTTTTTTTTTTTTTGGGCGGATCCACGCGCATAACAGATCCGCACATTTTGCCGGGCGAAATGCGAGATCTGCGCATTTCGGCGGGCGAAATACCAGATCCGCGCATGCCGCCCGTCGGAACGCGAGGTTCGTGCATTTTGGCTGGCAAAATGGCAGATCAGCGCATGTCGGCCGTCAAAACGCGAGATCCACGCATTTCGGCGGTCGAAATGCCACATCCGCGCTTTCTGGCGGTCATTTCACACCGTTTCTTGAAAATTCGGCCAAAAAAACGACCGTTTTTTTGCACCACCCTCAAAATGGCACTTCTTACCGTTTTTTATCGTATTATACGGCCGAAAACTTCAGTACCGTACCATACGGTCAAATTTTGAAAAAAACGCCGTTTTTTTGCACCTTGGGTGAGAGGGAGGGGGGAGTGCAGGGCGGTGAGAGGGAGGGGGGAGTGCAGGGCGGTGAGAGTGAGGTGGGAGTGCAGGGCGGTGAGAGTGAGGTGGGAGTGCAGGGCGGTGAGAGTGAGGTGGGAGTGCAGGGCGGTGAGAGGGAGGTGGGAGTGCAGGGCGGTGAGAGGGAGGTGGGAGTGCAGGGCGGTGAGAGGGAGGTGGGAGTGCAGGGCGGTGAGAGGGAGGTGGGAGTGCAGGGCAGTGAGAGGGAGGTGGGATTGCAGGGCGCTGAGCGAACAACAGAGATGGAGACAGGTAGATGCAGAGCCATTGAAACGCCAGCAGAGGCAGACATGGGTCGTGGGGATGATGCTGCACCTGGCGATGCACGCCACAAGTGGTCTGGTCGCTGTGTCACATGCATGCCACAAGTGGTCGCTGTGCCACATGCATGCCACAAGTGGTCGCTGTGCCACATGCATGCCACAAGTGGTCGCTGTGCCACATGCACGTGCGGCAGCTGGCATATGGAGATCGTTTGTGGAGCTCGCTCCCACTCAACAGCCCTCCTCTCTGTCTCCCCAGTCATTCTCTCAGCACGCACATACCTTACTCGCATTCCCATCTCCTCCCATCGCCACCCTCACAGCACTCTGGTGCTTGCCTGTGCGCCTCACTCTGCCCCCACCAACCCCCCTCTCCCCCCGCGCGCTCCCCCCAGGAGGAGAAGATCCTGGCGGTGCTGAAGGCGCTGGTGGCGCATCTGAGGGCCAAGGAGAAGGCAGGCCTCGTGGACGCCGTGGCGCAGGGGCAGGTGAGAGGGGGGCTGTGGCGCAGGGGCAGGTGAGGGAAAGGGGCAGGTGAGGGAGAGGGGCAGGTGAGGGAGAGGAGAGAGGGGCAGGTGAGGGGCGAGATAGAGAGGGGCAGGTGAGGGAGAGAGAGAGGGGCAGGTGAGAGGCAGGGGGCAGTGGTGCAGGGGCAGGTGAGGAGAGAAAAGCGGGCAGATGAGAGAGAGGGGCAGTTGAGAGAAACAGTGGGAGCAGAGGTTGACTGCGGGCAGTGATGGCGAGTGCAGGTGAGGCGCACAGTGCTGGGACGGCCTTGCAGGTGCATCCGCACTCGTGCATCCGCACCTGTGCATCTATGAGATATACTCACTGTTGTGCTAGTCAACGTTTTCTGCTCCACCTACCCATTAAGTTCTCTAAGCTACCCAGTAGGCTCCTCAGCTACCTGGTAGGCTCGTCAGCCTACTGTAAGAAACCTTTCCCAGCATCTCACCCCCACAACCTGTCCCAGCATCTCACCCCCACAACCTGTCCCAGCATCTCACCCCCACAACCTGTCCCAACATCTCACCCCCACAACCTGTCCCAGCCGTTCATTTCTTACCCACAACCCCCCTCCCCCCTCCCCCTTGTCGCAGCGGCGCATGGAGGGCGTGCTTGGGTCGCTGGTGGCGGAGGTGCGCAACAAGACGTCGTTCCTCAACCTGTTGCGCGCCGTGCGCGCGCAGACCGCCATCGTCGCCAAGCTCGGCACGCGCATCGCCAGCCTCGAGACTCGCGTGCTGCCGCCCACGGCCCTCGCCACCAAGGACGGCATGGCCCTTGCTGCTGCTGCCGGCGGCGCTGGCGCTGGCGTGGGCGGCGCGGAGGCGTCAGTGGTGGTGGCGGCGGTGACGGAGACGGCGAGCGGCATGGCGGTGGTGGTGCGCGAGGTGCAGCGGCAGAGCGAGGCGGTGCAGGAGGTGCAGGCGCTGCTAGAGGCCAGCCGCGGGGCCGACACGGTGCAGCTGGCCGTGAAGACGCACGCGGCGCTGCACGACCTGGTGCTGGCCGTGCGGCAGCAGGGCAAGCTGCTCGTCAGCCTCGACGGCCGCCTCGCGCACATCGAGGGCCACGTGGGGGGCGCGGCGGGGGCCGGGGGGCAGGGCGATGGCGATGTGGCGCGGCTGGAGAGGGCGGTGGCGGCGGAGGCGGAGGGCAGCACGGACGTGCTGAAGGCTGCGGAGGAGGTGATCGGGGGGATGCAGGGCGGGCAGGCGCACGCAGGGGGGCAGCAGCAGGAGGGGCAGGGGGAGGAACAGGAGAAAAACGAACAGGGGCAGCAAGAGGGGCAGCAGGGGCAGCAGGAAGGGCAGCAAGCAAGTAATGAAGATTTGGCAGGTGAGCTGGTATTGCTGGTGGCGGTGGGCAGGTAGGCAGTGGCGGCGATGGAGGGCTTGCGCCAGCCATGGAGGGCACAGCGGCAGCTGCGAGGAGCGGCAGGTGGAGTAGAGATGCAGAGTGCTTTTAGTTAACGGTAGCAAGCCGTTCACCACATGAGCAGTGAAGGATGAGGAGCATCATGCTTCTCAGGCACGAGCACGGGCGGAGCCATGCCCGCCTTGAGTGCAAGCCAGGGTAGGCTGGCTCTCGCTGCAGGGCACGAGGCGAGCCCAGCAACTGCCTGCCTCGGGGCCGCCCAGCCGAGGCGAGGCGGGGAATGACTCCTCTTGAGCCTCCCTTGGCTCGCTCCGTCAACGATCAGCCTGCCAGATCCGCGCCGGGGGGCATTTCGACCGCCACATGTGCTCGTCATTGACAAATTTTCCCGGCAGGCGCGCTGGTCGCAAATAGACATGGGCATGAGCTGAGCCTGGCTCGGTCGGCTCATTTGGGGTCGAGCCGGCTCGGCTCGGCTCGGCTCGAGCCGGGTCCTCAGGATCCCCGGCTCGGCTCGGCTCGTCAGGGGGGCTTGTGTGGGCTGTTAATTGGGGCCACGAGGTTTGGGGTCTCTAGTCTGGGGGATAATCCAGATTGTTTAGCTGATCGTCTGGTTCTACGTCTTACACAACTATCAGGAGGAGCTGCAGGTTTAAATAGGGCTGGCTGAGGTCGATAGACTAGGGCGGCAGGGTGAGGTTAGGGTTGGCAGACAAAATGGGCACGGGGGGGGTTGTCGATCTGGAATTTGACAGTCACGAAACCCCCCTTTCCCTAGCCGCGAGCCGGCTGGCTCGAAAACGAGCCAGCTCGAGCCGGCTCGACTCTGACTCGCCTGATTTCGGGTGCGCGAGCCGAGCCGGCTCGGCTCGAGTCGAGCCGGGTGCAAAAAAAAGAGGCTCGGCTCGTTTTTAAGGCGAGCCGAGCCGAGCCGAGCCAGGTGTGGCTTGGCTTGTGCGCATGTCTAGTCGCAAATGAGCCGCGAGGGGCTCACGGCTCGCGGAGCAGATTCGGCTCGGCTCGAGACGAGCCGAAGTTCCCGGAACGTGGCTGTGCTCGGCGCATCCATGAAACAAGCCGGCTTGGTCATCTTTTCGTGGCCAGTTCTCAACATGCGGAGTGCACGAGGTATGGTGAGTGGTAGAGATGTGTTGAATGCGAGAGGCATGTGGGGTGCAAGAGACATGTGAGGTGCGAGAGGGATGGTGAGTTTGAGAGGTATGGTGCTAAGTTGGAAAAAACGCTCGCTTTTGATTGCGTATTGCGTATTGCGTTTAAATGCATGGAAAATAAGTATGCTGCGTTTTTGGTCTGGATACGCCGAAATACGCACAGGCTGACCGGAAAAAAAAAAAAAAAAAATTTGCGATATTTTGCGCCTTGGAGAAAACAATTCTCGCCTTCGCACATCGCTCGAACTCAACTTTGTAAGAAATAGAGTTGAAATGATTAATTAGGAAAGGAGTCCAAGGCTCTATAAGTACATGGCAAAGTGAGAGTAGGGTTGAGCAAACTACCCGCCCGGGTCGGGTACCCGGTACCCGGACCCGCTTTTAGGGCGGGTCGGGTATCGGAAATCCTGAAAATTACCCGCCGGGTCGGGTCCGGGTTACCCGGGCCGGGTATCAATACCCACTACCCGAAATGCTACCCGACGTGTGGGGTAACGGGTACCCGACCCGGTCGGGTAAAAAATTACCCGAGGTCGGGTATTCCACCTAGACATGGGCGTAAGTCGCGCTGTGTTTTAGGTTTTGTGGCAAAACAGTTTTGGAGGTGAGGGGGGACGAGTGGAGCCCTACCTAGCCTAGCCCAACTTTAGGATGTCCACTAGTAGGTGGAGGGTAAAATTACCCGCTTTTCAGGGGGTCCAGGTCGGGTATACCCGGACCCGCCAGGCGGGTATTATAATACCCGCCTAAAAAAACCGGGTCCGGGTAAGGGTCCTGGGCATATTACCCGACCCGGACCCGACCCGAAATTACCCGACCCGAGGTCGGGTATGGCAAAACCGGGTCGGGTCGGGTAATTACCCGGTTTTGCTCATGCCTAGGTGAGAGTGATTGGATGAAGGAGGAATTGGAGGGAATCCCCATTGGGATCTCCGGAATCTCCAATTGGGTAATTGGAGATTGGGGGGATCACAATTGGGTGAGGTTGGGATTTGTGAGTACACCCCAACCCACTAGAACATTCATAACCTAAACTAGGATATAAAAGTACAAATACAAAAATTGTATTTGCAGTCTATTTCTAACACACCCCCATAGACTGCAAACTCGATCAAGGAGCACATAGCCCCATGGAACGGAGAAGGCGATGGTGGTCAGCCTTGCCGAGACCCTTGGTAAAGAGGTCGGCGAGGTTGCAATCTGAGGCGATGTACCGTACCGTCAGCTGGTCACTCTGAACAAGATCTCGGATGAAGAAATGAAGAAGTTCGATGTGCTTGGTGCGAGAGTGGAATACAGGATCCTTGGTGAGGTGAATGGCACTCTGGTTGTCACACCACAGGGTGGGCGACTGCTGGGGGTAGCCTAACTCAGCGAGGAGAAAGGAGAGCCAGCGTGCCTCTTGAGCAGCCATTGTGCCCGCGTAGAGCTCGGCCCCGCAGGACGACAGGGAGACTACAGAGGACCGAGTGGAGCGCCAGCTGATGACTTCGCTACCAAGAGTGAAGCAGTACCCTTGGGAGGAGCGTCTGTCAGTCTGGTCATCGGCCCATGAGGAGTCTGTGTATCCCTCGAGCTTGACTGGAGAGGTACCACCAAGAGTGAGGATGTGAGACTTAGTGGCTTGTAGATAGCGGAGGACCCTCTTGGCTGCAGACCAATGCAAGGCAGTGTAGCGTCCGGGGGAGACGTACCGAGAGAGGACACTAACCGGGTAAGCCAAGTCTGGTCGAGTGCACATCATGGCATACATGAGTGAACCGACTACCTCAGGGTACGGGTCCTTGCAGGCGTCACGAGAAGGAACTGGAGGGGCCGTGAGCTGATGCTGTAGTGGGAGTGGAGTGGAGACAGAGTTACTGGAGTCCATGTCGAACCGCTTGAGAAGGTTGTCGATGTAGGACTCCTGGGAGAGCGTGATCGTGCAAGCCTGGCGGTCACGAGTGATCTCCATCCCCAAGTAGTTCTTGAGGTCACCAAGATCCTTCATGAGAAGGGCGGAGCTGAGAGCAGACTGGATAGCTGCCATGTCGGCTGGATCTCTGGCGGCTAGAATGAAGTCGTCGACGTAGACGAGGATGTAGAAGGGCTCGGAGGAGTGACGAACGAAGAGACTGGAATCTGAGGCATAGGGATGGAATCACGTGCGAGGAGGACTTCCTTCACCTTGTTGTGCCACTCACGAGGAGCCTGCTTGAGGCCATACACTGGGCGCTTCAGCTTCCACACTGTGTTGGCAGGGTAAGTGCCAGGAAACCCCGGTGGGCGTTCCATGTGAACATCCTCCTTGAGCTGGCCTTGGAGAAAGGCGGAAGAGGCGTCCATGGACTTGATCTCGAAGTTGCCGCGAGCGGCTATATCAAGAAGAGCGCGCACAGTCGGGAGCTTGGCCGTGGGCGAGAAGATTTCGAAGAAGTCGAGATACTCCTTCTGGGTGAAACCCTTCGCCACGTATCGTGCCTTGAACAGTGGAGCTTCGCCTGGGAGTTGTTTGACTCGGAAGATCCATTTTCCGCCGACGATGTTGACACCGGAAGGGAGAACAACATCGTCAAAGCTGTTGTTGCGAATGAACGCCTCGTTCTCCACATCCATTGCTGCCTTCCACTCCTTCTTATAAGGCCCCGAGAGAGCTTCCTCTTTTGTGCGAGGAGTCGGAATGGTCGGGTTCTCGGTGAAGTTGAGGGAAGGGCAGTCAGTAATGTCCGGGAAGGTGTGAGAGAGAAATTGGCAGACCGCGTGAAGGTCAAACAGCTCCTCATGCCTGTCCTCCAGAAGTGCACGAGGGGGAATACGGATGGAGGGGACATCACCCCCGGTAGGAGGAGGCGGGTTGACCGAACACCGGATGGAGAAGGAGGCTGGTCCCAAGGCGAGAGGCGGAGCCGGTCCCTTGGAACGAGTGCGACTAGAGATCGGAGACGAAGGCGGCTGCGGTGGGACCGGAGGGACTGGACGCCTCCGATAGGAGACTGGTGAGCCGGGCTCGACGCGCGGGGAAGGCGGAGCAGGAGGAGGTGCCGCTGCGGAGGATACTGGGGAGGTCGGGTGAGACACGCCGGACGGAGAAGGCCTCGGAGAAGGGGCAGCGGCCGGAGGTGGGGCATCGAAGTCTGCCCAAACAAGCGTCGGGGGAGGTGGAGGAGGCTCGCCCGTGGTCGCAGCGTGGAATGGGCGTGTCTCATCGAAGACGACATCACGGCTGCGAATCAGCTGTCTGGTGATTGGGTTGAGAAATAAGTAGTCTGGGGAGTCGGAGATGTGCCCCAGGTACATGCAGGTCTGGGTTTTGGGACCAAGCTTGCCACCTTGCTTCCTGCGCGTGTGGGGGCTTAGCAACACATACGCGGTACACCCCCAGACGCGTAGAGAGCGGGCGGAAGGCGTGATCCCAAGCCAGAGAGCGGTAGGTGTGGTGTCGGTCCGATGGGGATGTGGATAAAGATTGTTGAGGAGTGCCGCATGGAAGAAAGCATATCCCCAGAGTGACCGTGGTGCGTTGGCGTGACTGAGGAGGCAGCGAGCGATCTGAACCAAGGTGTGGTTGCAGCTTTCTGCAATGCCGTTCTGCTGCGGGGTTTCGGGGAGCGTGAAGGTTTGCCGAATCCCTTGGGCCGCACAGAAGTTATCGAGTTTGCCATTGCGAAATTCTCCCCCGCCATCAGAATGGAGGCACTTCAGAGGAATGCCGAACGTGACTTGAGCCTGGCGCACCCACGCCATGATGACATCAGGTGCCTCCGCCTTGGTATGCAGGAGGTGCACAGAAACATACCGCGAGTGGTCATTGACTAGTGTAAGAAAGTACCGATGACCGACTCGGGATGCGACTGGAGCTGGGCCCCAGACATCCATGTGCACTAGGTTTAGCGGAGGAAGGGTGCGGCTGCTGCCTGAGCTTGCTCTTGGTACAGTCCAGGCAGGTGGGTGCAAGTGAGTCAGTTGGTGGAGGAAGCGCCGACGGGAGGCCAAGAAGAAGTTACTAGGAGAGCGGCTGCAGGGGCTTGCTCGGGGAAGACCATCCCCAACTGTTTGAGTTCACCATGAATGGACTGCACCTTGGTGACATAGTCCGCCGTGCCTGGCGAGTCCTCGAGCCGCACTTGGAACATGCTGGGGATGAGTATAGAAACTCCCACTGCAGTCTTGTTCAGGAAGCGATCTTCGAGGTAGAGCCAAATGGCGTTGGCAGACGGGTAGTTGTGGTAGGCTTTGACGAGTTCGGGAGGAGTGGTGCCCATGAAGACACTAATGACCGCACCATCGGCCTTCTCCCAATTCTTGTACTTGAGCAGTGCAGCAGCATAAACTGCTTCAGTGGCGGCATTAGCTGGATCGGCGGACCTCTCGGGTTTAGGAGGCTCTTTGCCGTCACCGATGTTGAGAAAGACGTCGGTGAGCTCGAGCCCCTTCACCTCGCGACTAAGGAGGTGCTTGTCGACACCATAGCGCCAAGCCTTGTAGTTGGAGCATGTGCCGTCCGGCTCGAGACGAAGGAGCGGGATCGGGTTGGCGAGTGAAGTGGTTGAGTAAGCCATTGTCGGTGTGCAGCGCGGCACTTTTGGAAATTGGTCGACGAGAATTGCTGAAAATCACTCTGACGGCTTTATCAAAATGTCACTAAGTAGGAAATGGCGTCGGCGAAAATTCGTTAAAACGCCGACTTGAAACTGAATCTGAGCCTATGTCTAACCCCGGACCCACACACCCCCCTACACACCCCCAGGCCCTGTCCCGCAGCTACACAGCTCCGCAACCAGCTCCGCAATCAGCTCCGCAACCAGCTCCGCAACCAGCTCCGCTCCGCTTCAACCTGTGTACCTGCTCTTGCTTGACGCGAGACGTTCGTGGAGGCGATTTCGCGAGGGGAGTTCGCCTATTCTGGCGGGGTCTGAGGGGAAACTCGAGAACGAGTTTTAAGAGATGGTCGAAATTGAGATTCGATCAAGGAGAACCGAGGAAGAAATCGACGACGAGAAGCGTGAAAGCTTCAGAGATGAGAAATTCAACGAGGTCGAGCGCGAAGGCGGTCGACGATGAGAGGCGCGACTGCAGAGTGGAGCACGTCGAAATTCCGACGACTCGAAACGAATGTCGCGACGATGAAGTGCGCGTAGCGCGGGCACGTAAAGATTAGGACATTGATCCGCGTGTGCGGATAGGTCGCTCTAATACCATGTAAGAAATAGAGTTGAAATGATTAATTAGGAAAAGAGCCCAAGGCTCTATAAGTACATGGCAAAGTGAGAGTGAATGGATGAAGGGGGAATTGGAGGGAATCCCCATTGGGATCTCCGGAATCTCCAATTGGGTAACTGGAGATTGGAGGGATCCCAATTGGGTGAGGTTGGGATTTGTGAGTACACCCCAACCCACTAAAACATTCATAACCTAAATTAGGATATACAAGTACAAATACAAAAGTGGTATTTGCAGTCTATTTCTAACAAACTTTGAGTTCAAATGTCGAACCCTAACCCCACCAGCCCCCCCTTTGAACCTCTGTCCACCCCTCTCCACCTCGTCACTTCCCAATCCCTCCCAACTCGTCCTTGAGACGAGTTGGCCTCAAACAGAGTCAGCTCTCCTAGCAAAAATTACTGCCATTTCAAAATTTTGATACTCATTCTCGCGGTTCCCTTTCTACCGTAGCTTGCGCGCCACCATGACTTCCAGCCCTACAGCATCACCCTGTATTTGTATAACATAGGTTGGATACTTCCCTCATGTCTGTGCATGGTTCGGCGTGACGTCGACCCATTCGGTGGCTGCAGTGCCTCCTTCGCTCACCCATTTCTCCTCCTGCTACATCGCCCCCCTCCTGTCGTTCCCCCTCAGACCCCAGCAAGTGGTCGCAGCATGCCTTCTCCGGCTCCCCCAGCTTCACTCGCTTCAGGTGCACCATGCAACCAGCTTAGGTGGACTGTATGTTTCTTCATGTGAGATGTGTGTTTGAATGGGTGGAGTGTAACGAATGCAAGTTCCAAGTGCGTGTGGGCGAGGGGCATGCAGCCAGCGGATGTGTTCTGCTCAAAGCTACGCCGCACATGCATCCTGCTGCAGGGAGCGCTGCAGCAGGGCATGCTAGCGCATCCACTCGCGCCCCAGCATTCACACCTTTATCCACCGGTGGCACACCCATGCACTCCACGCTTCTCCTTGTGCCCTTTGTTTCCATGCACCAGTGCTGTTCCCCTCACCCGTATCACCGATTTGTGTGTGCATCTCTCTGCCTCCCCCCCCAGTGGGTACCGCATGGGGGCGCGCAAGCTGGCAGCCGTGGGGTTTGGACCGACAGACCTGCAGCACACTCGTGCCGTGGGGGATTGCAGGTGACGAGAGGGGGGGTAGGTGCGTGACTGGCGCACTTGTGGCCACAAGCACCCCGGTGGCATGCACTGTTTCGCAGATGGAGTCATCCGCGTGACCGCGCCCCTCTCACTCTGCCCGTTTCAGATGCCCCCCCCTTTCTCCCATTGCCCCCCCCTTTCCCCCATTGCCCCCCCTTTCCCTCATTGCCCCCCCCTTTCCCCCATTGCCCCCCCCTTTCCCCCATTGCCTCCCCGCAATTTCCCTTTCCTCCCATCATCTCCTCTTCTCTCACCGCATGCAACCCCGTCAGTTGGCAATCCCCCGACGCCGCTCTGCCGTGCACGGCAGCGCTCACCTACTCCCTTTCGCCCAGCCCTGGCCGCCACAGCGAGGTGGTGGTCACGGCGTCCTTCGCCGCCGATGTGCCGCCCATGGGGGGCCATCTCACCGTCGCCATCGATGGCCAGCCCTTTGTCCTCTACAGGTATGGCGGCCCTCTGTCCTCTACAAGTATGGCTACACACCTCAACGTGGAAAGTCGATTTGTGCTGGATGGTTGGAGGGTGGGTGTAACAGTCTGAGTGATTAGGCTGCAAAGACAAGGACAAGCGGAGCATGTGGGGGCGACTTGGAGTGAACAGGTAAAGCATGATGGCATGTAGGGGTTGAGAGGCATGGTGATGGCACGTAGGGGTGAGAGGCATGATGATGGCACGTAGGGGGTGAGAGGCATGCTGATGGCACATAGGGGGTGAGAGGCATGCTGATGGCACGTAGGGGGTGAGAGGCATGCTGATGGCACGTAGGGGGTGGGAGGCATGCTGATGGCACGTAGTGTGAGAAACTGAAGTGATGATTGTATTAGGAAAGGAGTGGGTATACATAGGTGAGGAGTAGGAGGGGGGGTTTGGTTGGGAGGTGGCCACGATTATTGGGGACCCCAATAAGTTGAGTTGGCCAACTTATTGGGGTTCCAATAATCCTAGCCAAGATTATTGGTGGGTCCAATAATCGTGGTTGGGATTACTGGGGGTTCCAATAATTGGGAGCCCAACCAATTTGGGAACCCAACCCCCAACTTGGGTGTATACACCCTAGTGGGGTGCTTATAAGTACCTAAGACAATGAAACGATGTAGGCTAATAGAATGAAGGGAGAATATTCTAACACAACCCCTTAGCCTACAGAGTGCCATAAGTCTTGGCAAGGTGAGGAGAAGCAACCCCTGAATCTGGTATTCCCCTGTGAGGGAGGGGCAAGACCCAGAAGGCGAAGGAGAGTTGCATGGGGACGGCAAAGGAGGGCCTTGGTGAAGATGTCCGCAAGGTTGGCTGAAGAGAATCTTGCGGACGGTGAGGTGTCCAGTCTGGCCGAGCTCACGAACAAAGTAGTGGCGGAGCTCGATGTGTTTGGAGCGACCATGGAAAACGGCTTCCTTTGTGAGGTGGATAGTACTGGCATTGTCGCACCAGATGGTGGGACAGGGCTGAGGAGCATCCAGCTCAGCGAGGAGGAAGCTCAGCCACCGCGCCTCCTGGGCAGCCATGGTGACGGCGTAGAGCTCTGCTTCACAGGAGGAGGGAGCGATCGAGGAGGAGTGGGTGGAGCGCCAGGAAATGAGGTCGCTCCCTAGGGAGAAACCATACCCCTGTGAGTTGCGACGATCGGGCTGAGAATCCGCCCAAGAGGAGTCACTGTAGCTAGTGAGCTGAGGAGGGGTGGGACCACCCAAGGTGAGGACATAGTCCTTGGTGCCTTTGATGTAGCGGAGAACGCGCTTGGCCGCTTGCCAGCTCTCGGGAGTGTGTTTGCCTACGCCGACAAAGCGTGCCAGGACACTGATAGGGTAGGCAAGGTCGGGGCGGGTGCACATCATGGCGTAGATCAGGGACCCGACCAGCTCAGCGTAAGGACTGGTGGAGGAACCGTGGGTGGATGTCGGCGAGAGCTGGTGGTCGACTTGGAGGGGTGTGGACACGGGTTTGGCCGTGGCCATCTCGAAGCGTTCACGGACCTTCTCGAGGAAGAATGCCTGAGAGAGGGAGATGGTCTTGGCCGCACGATCGCGAGAAATCTCCATCCCGAGGTAGTTGCAGACCTCCCCCAGGTCCTTGCAGAGGCGCTTCTGCAGCTCATCCTTGACCTGTTGTAGGTTTGCTTCGTTGTCAGTGGCAAGAAGCATGCCATCGACATAGACGAGGATGTAGAAAGGGGAGGGGGAGGTGCGCGGGAAGAGGCATGAGGAAGCCTGGGAAGGGCAAAAACCAAGAGCACGGAGAGTGCTTGAGAGCTTGGCATGCCATTCCCGAGGAGCTTGCTTGAGGCCGTAGACCGGGCGGCGAAGTTCCCAAACAGTGTTGGGAGGGAAAGGGAGGTGCCAGCCCTCGGGACGCTCCATGAAGATGCGCTCATGGATTTCACCTTGGAGAAATGTCGTGGTGACATCCATCGAGTGCAGGATCATGCCGCGCCGGCCGACGAAGTCTAGTAACACGCAGACGACAGGGGGAGTGGCGGTCGGCGAGTAGGTGTCAAGGAAGTCATGGCCATACCGCTGCGTGAATCCTTAGGCGCAGTAGCGGGCCTTATAGACCGGGTTGTCGCTAGGGAGGAGCTTGACCCGAAATACCCATTTGCCCTTGACCACGGTGTGGTTGAGAGGGCGGGGTACGTCGATGAAGGTACCGTTGCGGACAAAGGTCTAATTCGCTTAGAGGACTGTCTTGCCCCAATGAGGGTGGTCGAGGCATGTCATAGCTTCGTGATAATCTCCCAGCTCGAAGATGATGGGCGCACCGGAGAAGACAAGTACTGGGGCGCCGGTCATGCTGAAGGCGACTGCTTGGGTGTTGGAGAAGAGGTGGAGGCAAAGAAATTCACCATGGAAGTCTTCGATGAGAGGGGAGAGAAAGGAGGAGGAAGGGAGGGTGGTGTTGCAAGTCTGCTGCGCAGCTGAGGGGGGAGGCTGCGACACTGCGACTCTGCGACTCGGCTGCACGGTTGCTTGACCGGGGCAACAGCTGCGGCGGATCCTGACGCTGCGGGTGCAGCGAGCGGGGCAGGCACTGGTGCGGCGGCGGGAGTTGCTGCGGCGGGTGCGGATGTGGAAGCAGAGGGTGCTGGAGCGAGTGCCTTTGCCTGAGGGAAGGGAGGGGCTAAGGGCGGACCGAGTATAAGGGCTGTGGCGAAGGACAAGGTGAGAAGACATCTGGGGGGGTAGAGGAGGAGGGGGAGGAGGGGGAGGGGGAGGGGGAGGGGGAGGGGGGAAGGAGGTGGAGGGTGAGGAGGTGGGGAGAAGGGAGAGGATGGAGCGGAAGCGGAGTGAGAGGGAGAGGGGGGGAGAACTGGGTCAAGGATGTCACCTGAGGAAGATGAGGAGGGAGCAGATTCGAGAGGAGGAGGTGCTGGGGGTGGGGGAATAAGAGGGAGAGGGGGGAGGAGGGGGGGGGTGGCAGTGTCAGAGGGGATGAGGGGGCGGGGAGGAATGTTGAGTGGGTCAGGTGAGGCAGGGGTGGTGTAGTACGGGGAGGATTCGTCAAAGATGACGTCTCGACTACGAATGAGGCGACCTGAGGGGGGATGAAGGAGCAGGTAGTCAGGGGAGGAGGTGTTGTGACCAAGGAATACACAGGGTAGACTCTTGGAGGCGAGCTTCCCTGCTGTGCGTGAGCGGTCGGCCGGATGTATGAGAACATACGCCCTGGAACCCTAGACCCGCAGGGGGGAGACATTCGGCTTAGTTGACGTCCACAGCTTGGTGGGGGTGGTGGAGGGGAGGAGTGGGTGGGGATACAGGTTAGTGAGGAGGACGGCGTGGAGAAGAGCATAACCCCTGAGAGAAGGCGGGCAGGAGGCGTGAACGAGAAGACACCTGGCGGTCTTTGTAACTTCTCGAACACGAGCCTGTGCCACGCCATTCTGCTGAGGGGAGTGAGGGAGGGTGTAAGTGTGGTGAATACCATGGGTGGAGAAATAGGAAGAGAGACGGTGATTGAGGAATTCACCGCCGCCATCGGAATGGAAGCGGCGAACTGGGCGACCGAAGTGGGTGCGCGCCTGCTCGGCCCAGGCGATGATAAAGGCCGGTGCCTCGGCCTTCGTGCGAAGGAGGGAGACCGAGGTATATCGTGAGCGGTCATTGACCAGGACGAGTAGGTAGCGGTGCCCTTGACGGGTGGGGGAGGGATTGGGGCCTCAGAGATCCATGTGGACAAGATCCAGGAGCTCTGGGGCGCAGGCAGGGTGAATTTTATGAGGAAGCTGCTTGAGCTTGCTCTGGATACATATGGTGCAAGAGGGGGCGGGGGTGGGAGGGAGTGGGGGGAGAGTGAGGGGAAGGCCATTGAGGAGGCCGGAGGCAACGGCCTTGTGGAGGGTGGCAAAGTTGGGGTGACCTAGGCGGTGGTGGAGGAGGATGGCAGGGTGTGTAAGATCACGACAATGTCCATGAGATGGGAGGGGGAGCAGGAGGGGCGGTAGGGGAGGTTGGGGGAGGTTGTGGAGGAAAGAGGGGAGGGGGGAGGGGAGGGATGGTGGAGGCAGTGTGACAGGCTGACGGACGGGGAGTGTGAAGGGTGTTCATGTGAGTGCGAGGACACATGGGAACATGGACGATGAAATGACCCGTGGATGAGTGAAACAGGTCACAGTGGGTGGCGTGGCCATGGTAGATTGTTGTGACCTCGGCCTGTTGAGGTGCACCTTGGGAGACGAGGTTAGTGCGAAGGGAGGGGACATGGAAGCCAGTGACTGAACGTGAGGGGAAGACGGGGCTGGGAAGAGTGGAGGTATGGCAGGAGGTGACCGAGAAAGTAGAATCGGCTCCAATGATGGTGGAGGGGTTAGGGAGGGGGGTGAGGGTACCAGCGTCACGAAGGACTATGAAGCTGGCATCGCTGTCAATGACAAACTCAATGGAAGGAGGGGTGGGGTGAGACACGGAGTACTGGAAGGAAGTTTCATTAATAGATTCAGGATACATTGGAGGAATAGCAGGAGAAGCATGGCTAACATGGTTGATGAAGCCAGGAGAGGGAAATGGGGTAAAGCCAGGAGGACCGGTGGGGGGTTTGCAAAGGAGTAGCAGGAGCAGAGAGGCCGGAGCTCCAGGCGGAGGGAGGGGAGGGCTGCTGCTGAGACTGTTGCAGCTGCTGCAGGAGCTGCTGCTAGGACTGCTGCGACTGCTGGGTCTACTACGGCTGCTGAGTCAGCTGCGGCTGCGGGGACGGAAGGAGGGGCGTGACTTGCTGGAGGATCTGTGGAGGGAGGTGCTGTGCGAGGATGTGGTGGAGAGAGGTAGAGGAGGGCTGATAGGCGGGGAGGGTACGAACATCAAAGGGAGTGGGAGATGGAGTGATAGCGGACCAGCAAGGGGGCGTGCCCGTGTTGCCTCGATCAAGCCACTCATCAGTGAGGGCCTTGAAGCATGTGGTGGTGGCATGGGGGGTTTGGAGGCAGCGCTTACCCTTGTTGGGACCGTTGCGGATGAGATACTGACACGGGGAGAAGCTGCAGGTGCTGCTGGAACCACTCCTACCCCCGCGCACTCCACTGCGCCCCCCGCCACGTCCACCACCCAATCGTCCCGCCGAAGTACGGCCACAGCCAGCACCACGTCCTCCTTTTGCTTGGGCAGCATGAGCCGTCGGAGGAGACTGGCGATGAAGCTCCGCTTCAGTTTTCAGAATCCATGCGGCTACATAGACGGAGTTGGGTGGGAAGCTGGCGTGGACCTCATTGAACGCCAAGCGACGGGCTTCGTACATGGGTGTGAGGCCGTCGAGGAGGCGGCAAACGATGTGGGAGTCAGGAAGGGGAGAGCCACAATCGGCGAGACGTTTAGCAGTGGTGAGGAGGCGGCGCGTGAAGGAGAGGGCGTTGGGGCAGGAGTCGAGGTTGATGTCCAGGAAGGCGCGGTGGAGCGCTAGGAGAGAGTTGGTGTCCTGGAGGTCATAGGCGGCACATAGCTCTTTCCAGAACTCGGGAGCAAAGGAGGGGGTAATTTCGCGTTTGAGGGAGGAAGGAACGCATGCAGACAGGATAGCGAGACATTTGCAGTTGACAACGTTCTAGGCAGAGTGGCGATGACGGTACTCACGAAAGTCGTCCGCATACTTGGCCGTGGCGTCCTTGTGCTGCTGGAGAAGTGTGTTGGCAGCGTCGTGCGCAGCTTGCTTTGCGCCATACGCGTGCCGGAGGAGAGTGTACTCCGCAAAGTCCTTGTCATACTGGTGTTGCACGCGAGCCCAGCGATCAGGGTCGTCGGTGTAGACCAGTGGGGAGGGCTTGGTGGGGGCCGGTCCCGAGGAGGCCGGAGGTGGGGCAGGAGGTGAAGGGGAGACATCAGCAGGACGCTCTAGGGGCTGCCCTGCGTCAGTGCCAAGGAGAATGTCGAGGAGGCAGTAGTCGTTGATGATTGCGGATCCGAGGACATTGGTGAAGCTCTGGGCAAAGGTAGCCCAGTTGACAGGGACGGCGTCGTCGATGAGCTCGAGGGCGTCGATGGTGGAGATGTCGACGGCAAGTGCTGCGGTGGTCATGGTGCAATTGCGGGTGCTGCTGCTGTTGCTGCTAGGGATGAGGGGAGAGGGGAGAAGGAGGAGGGGAGGGGGCGGAATACGGCTGCTGCTGCTGATGGCGCAGCTGCTGCAGATGAGGCGGTTGCTGCTGCTGGTGGGGGGAAGAAGGGGAGTAGGAGGAGGTGGAGGGGGGAGATGCGGCTGCTGCGGCTGATGAGGGGAGTGAAGAGGAGGTGGAGGGCGGTGGAGATTGCTGCTGCGGCTGCTGATGCGGCTGCTGCGGCTGATTGGGGGAGGATGCGGCTGCTGCTGTTGGTGGGGAAGGAGAGGAAGGGAGGGAGGAAGGGGGGAGGAGGAGAGGAAGGGAGGGAGGAAGGGGAGAGGAGAGGAAGGGAGGGAGGAAGGGGGGAGGAGGAAAAAGGCGGGTGCGCGGAGCGCAGCTCTTAAGTCGCCGTAGGCGCGAATGGCGACGGCCGGCGCGGATGGTGACGATTGGACGCTGTGGACAGTTGCGTGCGGTGCGCGCTGGCACAGAGGTCAGCCCGACCGAATCCTGCTTGTTAGGCGAGGGCGCTGGGACTGCACAAAGGGGGAGGAGGCGACGGAGTGCGGAGGAGAAGGCGTGTCGAAATATGGCGGGAGGGCCGCCTCGAGATGGTGCGGGAGCGCCGCATCGAATTTGCGGCAGAGCGCCGCGTCGAAATGCGGCCGAGCGCCGCGTCAAAATGCGGCCAAGTGCCGCGTCGAAATGCGGCCAAGCGCCGTGTCGAAATGCGGCCAAGCGCCGCGTCGAAATGCGGCCGAGCGCCACGTCGAAATGCGGCTTGGTGCCGCGTCGGAATGCGGCCGAGCGCCGCGTCGAAATGCGGCCAGGCGCCGCGTCGAAATGCGGCAGGAGCGCCGTGTCGAAATGCGGCAGGAGCGCCGCGCGAAAACAGCGGGGACTAAGGGCGCGGGGAGGGGCGCATAAGGGCGCGGGGAGGGGCGCTTAAGGGCGAGAGGAGGGGCGCTTAAAGACGCGGAGAGGGGCGCTAAGGGGCGCGGGGAGGGGCGCGTTGGGCGCGAGGTGGTTAGGGATTAAACGACGAAGAGGCGTGAGCCATAAGCTCTGAAACCTTGTGAGAATCTGAAGTGATGATTGTATTAGGAAGGGAGTGGGTATACATAGGTGAGGAGTAGGAGGGGGGGTTTGGTTGGGAGGTGACCACGATTATTGGGGACCCCAATAAGTTGAGCTGGCCAACTTGTTGGGGGTCCAATAATCCTAGCCAAAATTATTGGTGGGTCCAATAATCGTGGTTGGGATTATTGGGGGTTCCAATAATTAGGAGCCCAACCAATTTGGGAACCCAACAAGGTTGGGAACGGAACCCCCAACTTGGGTGTATACACCCTAGTGGGGTGCTTATAGGTACCTAAGACAATGAAACGATGTAGGCTAATAGAATGAAGGGAGAATATTCTAACACGTAGGGGTTGAGAGCCATGCTGATGGCACGTAGGGGTTGAGAGGCATGCTGATGGCACGTAGGGGGTGAGAGGCATGCTGATGGCACGTAGGGATTGAGAGGCATGCTGATGGCACGTAGGGGTTGAGAGGCATGCTGATGGCTCGTAGGGGGTGAGAGGCATGCTGATGGCATGTAGGGGGTGAGAGGCATGCTGATGGCATGTAGGGGGTGAGAGGCATGCTGATGGCACGGTTTAGGCATGGGCAACGGCTGAGATCCAGGAGGCTCAGCGCGAGCCAGGGTAGGTGCGTGTGCTACCATGGCCCAGCGGGCTAGGTGCGTGGCTGGAGGCTCGTGGAACGTGGACAAGCTGGGGGTTGGCTCGAGTCAAGCTGCTCAAACCACACCGCCCAGCTCGCGAGGCTCACCAGGGTTTAGCCCGCCAGATCCGCACCAGCTTCGCCTGCCAGTCCGCCACGGAAGCATGTCAATTGCACACCCAGCTCCTCCACAGTTTCTTTCACTTCTAACCGTCCGCATCCATGTGCATCATCGTGCTTTTCCTTTCGCCTATAAACATGAACTGTTCTCATTTCTCTCGCCTCATCCATACGCCACCCTCCCCCAGTGAGCACCCAAACCAGCATGTCTCGCTCGACCCACCCGCCTCTGACTTTCCCGCCGAGGTGCTCGTGTGCGCCCTGCCGCCCGAACCCGCCCACCCCGTGCCACTGCGCTCCCTTCGCGAGTTCCTTGAGTACTACCGCCTGGCGGGGGCGGCACGGATTGTCCTGTATGACAATGGGGCATGGCAGGAGGGCAGCGTGGGGGAGGAGGTGAGAGGCGAGGTGGAGCGGGGCGAGGTGGTGGTGGTGCCGTTCCAAGGGAGCCGCGACCACGAGCTGCACCGCCACGGCAAGGTGAGGGGCACCGCCACGGCAAGGTGAGGTGCACCGCCATGGCAAGGTGAGGTGCACCGCCACGGCAAGGTGAGGGGCACCGCCACGCAGGGTTTAAAAAAACGGCGTTTTTTTCATTTTCAGGCCGTTTGTTACGGTACCGTATTTTTCGGCCGTTTTATTCGGTATAAAACGGTTGAAGATATCTACTTTTTTGTAAAAGAAATCGGCCGATTTTTTCAAAAAAATAGTTAAAAATGCTGGCGAAATGCGCCGATCTGGCATTACGCCAGCCGATATGCGCGGATCTGGCATTTTTCCTGCTAAAATGTGTTGGATCCTGCGTTTTGGTGGACGAAATACACAGATCTGACATTTCGCCCACTAAAATGCGCGGATCTGGCATCTCCCCGCCAAAATGTGCGTGTCTCGCGTTTCGATGGACGGAATGCGCGGATCTGGGCAGACGTTTCGGCTTTCTACGATTTTTTTTATTTTTTATTTTTCTTGGAGTGTCCGATTAAAAATTCGGCGTTTTTTTCCCAAAATCACTGAAAAAAACGATCGAATAAAACGGCCTGCCGAATTTTTTCACCTTGCCGCCACAGCAAGGTGAGGGGCACCGCCACGGCAAGGTGAGGGGCATGGGCATGGTAAGGTTAGGGGCACATATTTGGTAGCATGAGAAACAAGGGCACGGCGGCGCCATGAGCTTACGGGGTGGGTTGCGCCGGCCGGTATGGGAAGGTCGGAGCACGGGCGGGAACACAAGGTGCGCAGCACGGGGATGGCACTGCGAGCCTTGGAGCCTCTCATACTCTCTCCCTCTCATTCTCTCTCCCTCTCATACTCTCTCCCTTCTCCCCCCTTCCTCCCCAGACCCTAGCCCAGCACGACTGTGTGTGGGGCGCGGCGTTGTCAGCGCGCTGGGTGGTGCCCGCCGAGCTCAACGAGTTCCTCTTCGCCGGCGCCATGCCCGCCGCGCTGCCCGCCTTCCTCCACGCGCACGCCTCTGCGCCCTTCCTCTCGCTGGGGTCGCTGTGGTGGGCGTCCGCCAAGTGCTCGCTGGACTTCCCTGCGGGCGACCAGGGCGGCGACAAGTTCACGTTGGAGCGCATGGTGTTCCGCTGGCCGTGGCCCGTGTGCCACGACACCACTGCCTTCCCTGATGCCAACCTCTGCCTGGGAGAGACGGGGTACCGCAAAGCCATCGTGGACCCCAGGAAGGTGAGGCAAAGCCATCGTGGACCCCAGGAAGGTGAGGGAAAGCCATCGTGGACCCCAGGAAGGTGAGCCAAAGTCATCGTGGACCCCAGGAAGGTGAGGCAAAGTCATCGTGGACCCCAGGAAGGTGAGGCAAAGTCACTGCGGAGTCGAAGAAGTTGAGGCAAAGTCACTGCGGACTCGGAGAAGGTGAGGCAAAGTCACTGCAGACTCGAAGAAGGTGAGGCAAAGTCACTGCAGACTCGAAGAAGGTGAGGCAAAGTCACTGCGGACTCGAAGAAGGTGAGGCAAAGTCACTGCGGACTCAAAGAAGGTGAGGCAAAGTCACTGCGGACTCGAAGAAGGTGAGGCAAAGTCACTGCGGACTCGAAGAAGGTGAGGCAAAGTCACTGCGGACTCGAAGAAGGTGAGGCAAAGTCACTGCGGACTCGAAGAAGGTGAGGCAAAGTCACTGCGGACTCGAAGAAGGTGAGGCAAAGTCACTGCGGACTCGGAGAAGGTGAGGCAAAGTCACTGCAGACTCGAAGAAGGTGAGGCAAAGTCACTGCTGGCTTGAGGAAGATGAGGTGAGGTGCGGCCAGGAAGATGAGGTGCGGCCAGGAAGATCCATTGTGGATCCAAGGAAGAAGCGGCCGGGGCGAGTTTCAGTTCTCTTACAATTTCGTACGATGTTCGGTCGTAACTTAGGTTCGTGGTTCGAGAAATCTCTGGTCATCTGAATTGTGAGCTCATTACTGAAGTACGCCAGAGTGCTGACTGAACGGCACGCGACAGTTCCACTCTATCGACTCAAATACAGCTCTAGACTCTTGTTACGATAACATAAATTTCAGGAGCACCTCGTCCGGTAGACATGGTACAAGGCGAGACAGCTCGGGCTTGGCTTGATCGTGATGGAGCCGGGGCACAGTCGAGCTGAGCCGGGGGCCAGTCGAGCTGAGCTGGGCCCCAGTCGAGCTGAGCCGGGGCCCAGTCGAGCTGAGCCGGGGCCCAGTCGAGCTGAGCTGGGCCCCAGTCGAGCTCAGCTGGGGCCCAGTCGAGCTGAGTTGGGCCCCAGTCGAGCTGAGCCGGGGCCCAGTCGAGGTGAGCCGGGGCCCAGTTGAGCTGAGCCGGGGCCCAGTCGAGGTGAGCCGGGGCCCAGTCGAGGTGAGCCGGGGCCCGGTCGAGGTGAGCCGGGGCCTTCAACCTCGAGCCGGTCATGCATTTGCCCAGCTCGGTTTGGCCTGGCATGGACTAGGATTTGGGGCGGTCTGGGGGGAATGGTTTGGTGCGGTCCTTGCACAGAGCGATGTCCAATGGGCGGCATGTGGAGTCTGTTGGTGGCGTGTGTGCTCGATCATAGGCTCCTAAACTAAGCTTTGTGGGTGGGGTTTAGGGCTAAAAACTTGGTGGGTGGTTGGGAAAGCGTAAATGAAGAGTCAGTGTTTTGCTTTCCCATTTGTGTTCTTTACCCCCTAATGCCCGAATGGCGTACTTCGACGAGCCGACTCAAGCCAGCTCCACCCCAGCTCCGGTCGTGCGGTGTGTCGAGCCGAGCTGACCTGAGATGAGCCGAGTTGGCTCGTCTTTCTGCCCATGTCAAGGTGGCAAAGCTTAATTTTGTATGAAGCAGCACGAGCTCACTCCATGAAACCTTAATGTAGTGCGAGTGTGGCAATGGTAGGAAGGGGATCGTCACTTGCCGCCTGGCTACTCCAGAGGCAAAGGCGCTTGTTCATCGTGCCATGGCTGATACGAAGAACGGCGTAAAATTGCTGGTGGAAGCCTTCTACAGGCTGGTAACGATGCTGCTGCTAGGTGGCGAGCAGCTACAGCATTGTGGAGGGTAGCAGCACGGGGTGGAAGAGGCAGGGGACACTCAGGACTTGTATGGATGGATGGGCGTCCCAAGTCACAAGGCACTCAGGACGTGTATGGATGGGCGTCCCAAGTCACAAGGCACTCAGGACGTGTATGGATGGGCGTCCCAAGTCACAAGGCACTCAGGACGTGTATGGATGGGCGTCCCAAGTCACAAGGCACTCAGGACGTGTATGGATGGGCGTCCCAAGTCACAAGGCATCAGGACGTGTATGGATGGGCGTCCCAAGTCACAAGGCACTCAGGACGTGTATGGATGGGCGTCCCAAGTTGCCCAACGAAGCGAGCGAGTCACCATCTCATGTGCCCAGCCCGTGTCCAATCCCTGTGTGCCAGGTGGAAGCCCTGGGTGCCTTTGAGGCGAGGGCGCTGCCCGATTGGGGTGAGGGTGAGGACGTGCGCACGGACGTGGCGGTGTACAACCACATGCAGGACCTCTTCGCCGACCCCTCCAAGTGGTGCTCCGAGCTCTTCAACGACGACCAGGTGGGGGGGAATGGCGGTTCCCAGTCCCATGGCTCCCAGGTGTGGGGGCATGGGGGTTCCTATGGCTCCCAGGTGTGGGGGCATGGGGGTCCCTATGGCTCTCAGGTGTGGGGGCATGGGGGTTCCTCTGTATTGGAGTTGGGTGATCTGGTCAGCACATGAGGGTTGAGCAAAGGGGTTGCGTGCAGGACGAAGGAGGCAGAGGCAAAGTGTAGTGCAAGGCTTTCCAACATTGCTATTGATGGACGGCATCATAATCAAAGATCATCGTCCGAGGGGAGTTTCCATTCACTTTCCCTTTACCGCCCACTTGAGCATGCACGTGCCTTGATCTCCCTGCTGTGCCCCCTGCTGTGCTCTGCACTGCCGTTCCCCTCTCTTCTTGCCGTGCCTCCTGCCCTGCTCCACCCTCCACGCCACGGTGCGTGCAGGGCCCTGACTGGTGGGTGAGGGACACGTACCTGCGGGACTACGGGCAGTCGCTCAGAGCCAATCACGTCTGCCACTTTAATAACGGCCAGGTGCGTGCATGCATGCATGTGTGCTGCTGCTGCTGCTGCTGTTGCCACTGCCGCTGCCGCTGCTGCTGCAACGCGCCTTCATCCATCCCGCGCATTCTCATGCTCTCCCACTCCCTCCAGTGTGCCTTAGCTCCTTCCTTGTGCTTCTAGTCCCCCCTTCACTGCCATTTTAGATCGTGTTCCCCATGCCTCCTGCAATTACATCTCACACTTTCACTCCTGATATTTGCCCGCTCACACATTCACCCCCTAGTTCAACCCCTCACATGCAGTCACACTCCCTTCACCCAATCAGGTTCAACCTCCCTTGCACATGCACTGCACTTGCTGACCATACCATACATACATGTGCCACTCCACCACACGTGTGCCACCAGCCATGCTCACTCATGGCATGCCATTGCACTCCGTGTCTGCTTACTCCCCTGCTCCACTCCCACTCGTCTTTCCAACTCTGCTTCACCCACCCCTTGCACTCCTCTTCCCCCCCTTCTCCACCTACCTCGTGCAGTGCAAGCAGCTGTCGTGACATCAAGCCACACTAGCTAAACTCCGTGGGTTCCAGTATCTACGTTTGCGCTGAATTCCCTAAAGAGATTTACTGGCATCTGCTTCTCTTTGCGATTGCTTGCTTCTCGAGAACTTTCTGTGGCATCTCATATCATGGTGCAGCAAGTAATAGCCTGTGCTCCAGGGCAGGGCTCCACATATCAGACGAAATCAGTCTGATGGTCTGAAAAGCAGACTCGTTTTTAAGGTTCATCTGATTTGTTAGACCACCCATTTTCTCTCGTCTGAACGTTAAGACGGCTGTTTAAATTTCGTCTGAAGAAATAGAATGCGTACATTTTCGCCTGAAACTGACAATTGTGGTTGGTAGATGATACATGAAAACTCCGAAACAGGCAAATTGTACTTGTTTGCCCACAACCCTGAAATTTCCTCAAAGTCACCAAACATGAGAGTTTCCCCCAACCAGGCCCCCAGTTTTCAGGCCATTTACCCTGATTCGGGATTTTTTCAGGGATTTTTTATGTACCAGCCCTGTCTTGCTAGGGTATTTTGTGCAACCTACCCTGATTTCTCAGCTTTTTTTTTTAAGGGAACTCTGACTGATCAGCAGTGTAACCGCTATGGACCCTGACGAGTCCGCCAGATATCGCGGTACAGCCCTGATTCCTGTAATAGCGGAATCTACTTCCCCCTCCCCCATATAGACCAGCGTCATTCAGCACTTGCAAATAACCTCGCGCGACAGAACGTGGCGGTTACCTGGCGGCACGGACAAGGGAACCAGCACATCGAGTTCATGCACGCAACCATCCCATATTGGCTGGCGTTTTCATCCCCACACGGCAACGCCCCTTCTGCTAGCGCCATTTCTTGCTCCCACCTACTTTTCCCCTGAACATTACTTCTCCTCATCATTCTGTGTCTGCGAGTCATTGCAGCACGCTGCTCGACTCGCAGACGCCATGGTCGAACCAGGCGACCCCGACGAGCCTGACAGTACTCGGCACCTGGACTCTAACACGGGTCTAGACTTGTTACACTCCACCCTCTCAAGCCTGACGCGTATCCCGCCTAGGGTTAGGAGCGCCGTGCATAGGCCCGCCTCTCAGCCAGCTGGCGGTTCTGTAGGTGACGCTGCGGCTGGGTCTAACAGCGACCCCACTGCCGGCCCCTCCACTGCTGAACCCGAGATCCCAGGTACTACGGCTGGTACTCCGGCTAAGCGCTCCGGTCGTTACAGACAGGCCACTCTTCCATTTGCTCGCCCGAAGATGACGGGAAACGAGGCAACCGGGGCGCCTGATTCTGACGTGGAGGACGATGAAGATGATCCTCCCTCCGCCACCAAACCCATGCGTTCAGCAGACGAGCAGTATGCGGATGCACAGCGCCGCTACAACACGAAGTGGCAAGACGAGTTCCCATGGCTCCTCCTTGAAAAAACGCCCGATGGACTTCCTGCCTTCAAGTGTTCCGTGTGCATCGAGCATGCAGGTCTGAGTGGCAAGACCAGGCGACGTGGCGGCGAGAGGTAAACAATGACAAGAGAGAGGCAACCAGCTCATGAAAGAGGTAAACAGTGACATGAGAGAGGAAAACAACGACATGAGAGGGGTAAACAGCGAAATGAGAGAGGTAGCCAGCGACATGAGAGAGGTAGCCAGCGCCATGAGAGAGGTAACCAGCAACATGAGAGAGATAAACAGCGACATGAGACAGCTAACCAGGGACATGAGAGAGGTAAACAACGACATAAAAGAGGTGAACAGCGACATGAGAGAGGTAAACAGCGACATGAGAGAGGTAAACGGCGACATGCGAGAGATAAACAGCGACATGAGACAGGTAACCAAAGACATGAGAGATGTAACAGCGACATGAGAGAGGTAAACAGGGCCATGAGAGATGTAAATACCAACATGAGAGAGGTAAACAGCGACATGAGAGAGGTAACCAGCAACATGAGAGGGGTAACCAGCGACATGGGAGATGTAAACAGCGACATGAGAGAGGTAAACAGCGACATGAGAGAGGTAAACAGCGACATGAGAGAGGTCAAGAGCAACATGAGAGAGGTTACCAGCGACATGAGGGATGTAAACAGCGACATGAGAGACGGAAAAAGCGACATGAGAGAGGAAACCAGCAACATGACAGAGGTAAACAGAGACATGAGCGAGGAAAACAGCGACATGAGAGAGGTAAACAGCGACATAAGAGAGGTAAACAGTGATATGAGAGAGGTAGCGACATGAGAGAGGAATACAGCGACACCACAGAGGTAAACAGCGACATGCAAAAGGTAACCAGCGACATGATAGAGGAAACCAGCGACATGAGAGAGGTAAACAGCGACGTGAGAGAGGTAAACAGCGACATGAGAGAGGTAAACAGCGACATGAAAGGGATAATCAGCGACATGAGAGAGGTAAACAGCGACATGAGAGAGGTAACCAGCAACATGAGAGAGGTAACCAGGGACGTGAGAAAGTTAAATAGCGACATGAGAGAGGTAAACAGCGACATAAGAGAGTTAACCACCGACATGAGAGAGGAAACCAGAGACATGAGAGAGGTAAACAGCGACATGAGAGATGTAAACAGCCATATTAGAGAGGTAAGCAGTGACATGAGAGAGGTAAACAGCGACATGAGAGAGGTAAACAGCGACATGAGAGAGGGAACCAGCGACATTAGAGAAGTAACCAGCGACGTGAGAGAGGTAAACAGCGACATGAGAGAGGTAAACAGCGACATCAGAGAGGTAACCAGCTCATGAGAGAGGCAAACAGCGACATGAGAGAGGTAAACAGCGACATGAGAGAAGTAAACAGCGACATGAGTGAGGTAAACAGCGACATGAGTGGGGTAAACAGCGACATGAGAGAGGTACACAGCAACATGAGAGAGGTAAACAGCGACATGAGAGAGTTAAACAGCGAAATAGCAGCGACACCAGAGAGGTAAACAGCAACATGAGAGGGGTAAACAGCGACATGAGAGAGGTAAACAGCGACATGAGAGAGGTAAACAGCGACATGAGAGAAGTAAACAGCAACATGAGAGAGGTAAACAGCGACATCAAAGAGGTAACCAGCTCATGAGAGAGGTAAACAGCGACATGAGAGAGGTAAACAGCGACATGAGAGAAGTAAACAGCGACATGAGTGAGGTAAACAGCGACATGAGAGGGGTAAACAGCGACATGAGAGAGGTAAACAGGAACATGAGAGAGGTAAACAGCGACATGAGAGAGTTAAACAGCGAAATAGCAGCGACACCAGAGAGGTAAACAGCAACATGAGAGGGGTAAACAGCGACATGGGAGAGGTAAACAGCGACATGAAAGAGGTAAGCCGCGACATGAGAGAGGCAACCAGAGACATGAGACATGTAAACAGCGACATGAGAGAGGTAAGAAGCGACATGAGTGAGGTAAACAGCGATATGAGAGATGTAAACAGCGACATGAGAGAGGTAACCAGCTCATGAGAGAGGTAAATGTTATAATCAAAATAGACTCAGATGTGCCTAAAATGAGAGATAGAGTGCACAGTCGGATTTCCGTCAGACGGCTTCAAATATTGATACCAATCTGATGTGTTCCTTAAACGGTGATCTGTAAAATGGATCTGGAGCGCGTTGCTGTCGCGTATCAGCAGCAAGTTGAATCATGAAATTCCATGAAGATATGACGATGCTATGGTGGTTTGAATGGCAAAAGGTATAGCAGCAACAATTGTTTAAGAATGCACAAATTTGGCAAGAAGAATCGAGATTGCGATAGTTCTCAGCCTCTACAAGCCCCAAAAGCCAAGGTCCAAGTTGGTGGTACAGCATCGCAGTGTCCCCAACCACGAAGGGATTCGAAACAATCGCAACAAGGGGCTGGACCAAGTGAAATGTAATACGACATGAAGTAGCATTACGAGTTTCACTATTTCAATATTTATCCACTTCTCTTGGGCTTGAAATCTTGAGCTCTTGGTCTTGATTCTGCAAGATAAATTCTTCTTGAGTTGATGAGGGCTTGCTGCACACACCTGCGATGCGATGGACACTTCACACTCGACAAAATAGAAAAACACATGCGACACGCAAACGACGACTTGACATGCGAGTTGTGAAAACTCGCTAATGTCTTGACCGACACAAACCACATTGTGATACACCATTCAAACACATTCACAAGCACTAGATAGCAATGATATAGACTCACAAGTTATTCCATGCCATGCATGCACACACACAAATAAGGACGACAAGCCGAGTGCAAGCCATAGGGTTGCACCAGCAAACTCCTCCTCGGATTGTTGGCCTTAGAATCTGCTGGCCTTAGAATCTACTCTCCTTAGTTCAGAGCCATCCTAGCAAGCTTGCAACACTTCCAATGCTGCTGGTCATCATGTCAGCAGGCTCTTGGTCATCATGTCAGCAGGCTGCGCCGTCGTCTTCACGTAGTGCAACTCCACTTCACCCGCGGTTACCATGCTCCTCACCCAATGCCACTTCACCTTCATGTGCTTGGTAAGGCCATGACGTACGGGGTTTTTAGCCAATGCAATAGCACCCTGGCTATCACAATAGAGTAGGGTAGGTCCTTGCTGCTCCTCCCCCAATTCAGCTAGCGAACGCCGCTGCCACACAACCTCTCTTATGGCACGGAAGAGTGCCATGTACTCGGACTCCACCGAGCTCAATGCTTGGTCCACTTGTTTCTTGCTCTCCCAAGCTGTTGGGCCTCCACCAACACAGCAGATGAATCCTCTCACACTTGTCATATCCTCTAGTTCTGATGCCCAAGATGCATCAGAGAAGGCGGTGAGAAAGAGCCTCCCGGGTTCGACTCCATCCGCACCCTTTTGACGCCTTTCTGCCGCCGCGGAGTATTGCAGTCCAACAGTTGCTGTTTGGCCAAGGTACTTGGCCACTCTCTCTCCAGCTGCTACCTGCTCTTCATTAGGGCATTGGACAATCCTAGCCAGCTGTTCGGTAGCAAAGGCTGCATCCGGCCTTGTGTGAACGGCCGCATACATGAGGCTGCCCACCAAGGAGTGAAAACGGCGCCTCTCCTCTTCACCAACACTTTCCTCCGCTGGTCTTTTCACACACTTGAACCACGAGGGTAGAGGAGTAGCCACATGACCTTCATTCTTCCCAAAGTTTGCAACCAAGGCCTCCAAGTACTTCTTTTGATGCACTCGCATGCACCGCTTCTCTACATCTCGCTCAATGTGAAGGCCAAGGTAGTAGTTGACGTCACCAAGGGTCTTGCACTTGAACTTGTCTTGAAGCTTCAGCATCACCTCCTTCACAAGGTCAGAGGAGGGTGAGAACATGAGGATGTCATCCACATAAACCACCATGAAGCTCCTCTGCTCCCCCTCGCCAAGCATGAACAAGGATTGATCGGCTGTTGAGGGAGTGAAGCCGATCGCCTCCAAGACTTCCCGCAGCTTGATGTACCATTGCCTAAGGGCTTGCTTGAGGCCATAGAGTGCTTTCTTCAGCTTCCACACTCTGCCACTCCCATCATTGTACCCCTCTGGCTGCTCCATGTAGGTCTCTTCCTCCTAAGCTCCGTTGAGGAAGGCCGTTACGATATCCATTTGCTTCACCACCCATCCTTTAATGGCCTCCGCAGCGAAGACAGTTCTAAGGGTTGTACCCTTCACCACAGGAGCATACACTTCATGGTAGTCCTTCTTCTCCTGCTGCTTGTACCCCTTGGCTACAAGTCTGCTCTTATAGCGCTCATTGTTGCCGTCGGCGTCGGTCTTGCGCTTGAAGAGCCACTTGGAAGAGATCGCCTTACGCCCCGGAGGTAGGTTCACCAAGTCAAATGTGTTGTTCTCTATGATGCTCCCCATTTCTTCATCTGAGGCCTACTCCTTCCCATTGGGGCAATCCCAAGCCTCCTTGGGATTTGTAGGCTCCCCCGGGATCTCCACCGGAGAGAAGAAGGCAAAGGCGCACTCCTCGCTTTCATCTTCCGCATCATCGCCTAGCATGAGAGCCAAACCGGTCAAGGTTGAGTTGGCTGGTCCTCCAAGTCGTTCATAGCTCAACCTTTTGGGGGACTGAGACTTCCTTCTCCCCCTTCCTTCCTCCTCTGCTGCAGGGACTTGAATGCTCTCATGGCGTTGCTGCAAATCTGGTCGGTTCCGGCGAGCACTTGTAGCACGAGGCGGAAGTGACGGTGCGCGCTCATCACCTTGCTGCACCTCCTCCTCTTCTTCTCCCCCATTCATTTGAGGAGATTGCCTTGGGATAGTGCTGCTGCTACTCAGCTCCAAGGGCAGCTCCACATGCTCCAATCCGGTACTCTTCACCTCTCCAAGCCGCACACCAATCTTCGCTTGATTCTCCGCCTTCCACTCCTTGTACGGTAAGTTCTCCATGAACTTGCAACCTCTGCTCACGAAGAACTTTTTGGTAAATGGGTCCCAAAGAAGCCATCCCTTGCTGTTTTGAGCCATTCCCAGGTGCACGGCCCATGTTGCCTCGGCATCAAGCTTGTTGTGCCGAAGTTTCTTAGGCACAAGTGCCATGCACATGCACCCGAACACCCGAAGCATATCCACCTTCGGCTTCCTTCCAATCCACTCCACATAGGGCACCCATTTGTCTTCTCCCACATGAGTCAAGGCTCTGTTCTTGGCCACACAAGCATGTCGCATCGCATCCGGCCAAAAGTAACTAGGTTGACCGGCTTCAATGAGAAGTCCCCGAGCCGTCTCCGTGAGTGTCCGATTCGCACGCTCGGCAATGCCATTCATTGCAGGAGAGTAGGGCATGGTGAGTGAGTGCCTTATGCCCTGATTCTTCAGCCAAGTTGAGAAGTCCTTGCTCAGGAACTCTCTCCCATGGTCTGTGCGAATCGCCTTCACAAGCCGGTCTTGTTGGTGTTCCACCATCGGCAACCAATCGGTCTTCACCGTCTCAGATACACCACTCTTCTTGGGCAGCACATACACCCAAGTCATGTGAGTGTAGACATCCACAATGGTGAGGAAGTACTCAGCTCTAGTGGCTCCAAGCTTCAAGGGGCCCACCACATCCATCACCACCTCATCAAGTGGTGCCTTCGCCGTTGTCTCCGAGCTATGAAACGGGTAGCGGGTGAACTTGGCTTGCATGCATGTTGGACAGCCAAGCACCTCATTGGGCTCCTCCTTAACATATATCCCACTGACCATCTCTTGCTTAACAGTCTGCTGCAAAATGGGCAATGTCACATGCCCCATTCGCCGATGCAAGGTCAGCCAATCACACTCTCCCGTAGCGGAAGTCGGGTTGGAGAAAGCGGCACTCGCAATTGTGCCCCACAAGCTCTCTCCTTTCTCCTTTGCTGCTGCTGCTTTGCTGATCTTAGGCTTCTCCTCCTCATTTCCACCACCTTTGGCTGCTGCACCACTCTCCTTGGGTTCACACGCCTTTCTGGTCTCTCCAAGATTGCACTCCTTTGAGTCACTCTTGGTGTCACTTTGATTTCCGTGATCACCGCCACCAACCGCTTCACTCTTGGTGCTGACGCTTGCTGCCACTTGCCTCCCCTTAGGCATGGGGACCACTGGGATTTGCCACATCTCATTGTAGATGTCCCTATCCTCATGAAGGTCCCAAAGCTTTCGCTCACCAAGCCTCGCGGAATATGTTTTGGAACCCTTGGAGGATGTGACCATGCCGGCCTTTTGCAAACGCCACATGGAAACCAGATTGGCTCCAAGGTTGGGCACCCAAAGCACGTTCTTGAGGCCCACCATCTTCCCATCAGCACCCTTGAACATGGCCTTGCCCATGCCTTTCACCTCTGCTCGCTGCCCCAAAGCCGATGTAACATGCTTGACCGGCGACGGTTCGAGTTCTGTGAGCAAGTCCGCACGAGGTGTCCTGCTATAGGTGGCGCCGGTATCGATCACCCAAAAGTGTAGAGTGTGAAGGGTGACCTTTCCCACAGTAGCTGGCTTTTCAAAGCCTTCCACACCTCCTGCTGCACCTGCTGCTTGCGTGGAGACAAAGAAGAATTGGCACGGGAATCGATCTTCACTCGGGCTTGTCTCGTAGTCTCCACCTTTCATGCTTGCCGCTTCGCTGCCACGACCACCACGGCCTCCACGACCTCTGCCTCTTCCTCCCCTTGCTCCTCTGTCCTCTTGGCCTTGAGAAGGGGTCCATCCATCAGGCAATCTGTAGCTATCTCTCCACATGTGGCCGGTCTTGTGGCAAAGTGGCATTCGCCATCAAATCGACCGCGCCCACGCCCGTAGCCATTATTGTTGTTGTTGCTGCCATATCCTTCACTACCACAGCCTCCATTGGAATTACTGCTGTCAAATCTGCCTCCTCGCCCTGTGCCCCTTTCACGGCCATGCCCACGGCCCATGCTTGCAACTCCGGCACCATCGGGACCCGCCAATTTGCGACGGCGGAAATCTTCTTGTAAGATTTCCCGCTTCACATCTTCGAGTGAGAGACGGGGCAGATCTCGATTAAGATTGATGATGAGCAAGGACCATGAGTTCGGAAATAAGGCTAGCAGCTTGGTCTTCTTTTGAAGGTCACTGTAGTTCAGGTCAACTTCTTCGAGCCGTGTCAATAAGTCGAAGAATTTCTGCACTCCTTCCTCCACCGGTTCGCCTTCGTCAATTCGAAGTGCCGCCATTTGCCGCTCCAAAACCACAGCCACCGCCGCTGTTGCAGGAGCGTGTACACCCTTGAGAGCAGCCCATGCCTTTGGTCCCTTTGCTGGTTCACGCTGAAAAGGCTTGATGTGACGGATTTGGCTGCTCCCCAAAGCTTGCCCAAGTAGAAGATAGCCTTGTGCGCTCTTCCGCACCCACGGGCTCTTCTCCGGGTCGTTCTCGGGGCGCTTCTCCGTTCCTTCCTTCACCTCCAGCAGATCATAGTGGTCAAAGATGTTCCCTATCTTGAATAACCACTTAGCAAAGTTGTCACTGTTGAACTTGTCAAGGCCAAACACTCTAGGCTCATCCCTAGAGAGGCCAAGGCTAGGTAGCACGGGAGCAATGGGTGGATCTTGGTGTTGGCCTTGTACTGGGGCATCTTCTCTGCCTCCAGCACCTCTGTCACCCCCTTCTCCACATCTAGGCATCGTCTAAATGGCTCCAAGGGGCTCTGATACCACTTGCTATAATCACAATAGGATCAGATGTGCCTAAAATGAGAGATAGAGAGCACAGTCGGATTTCCGTCAGACGGCTTCAAATATTGATACCGATCTGAAATCTGCCTGAAACGGTGATCTATAAAATGGATCTTGAGCGCGCTGCTGTCACCTATCAGCAGCAAATTGAATCATAAAATTCCATCAAGATATGACGACGCTATGGCGATTTGACTGGCAAAAGGTATAGCAGCCACTATTGTCTTAGAAGTACAAACTAAGCAAGAAGAATCGAGATTGAGATAGTTCTCAGCCTCTACAAGCCCCAACAGCCGAGGTCCAGGTTGGTGGCACACCACCACAGTGTCCCCAACCACGAAGGGAGTCGAAGGGTGGACCAAGTGAAATGTAATACGACATGAAGAAGCATTACTAGTTTCACTATTTCAAATTTTATCCACTTGGTCTTGATTCTGCAAGATAAATTCTTCTTGAGTTGATGAGCGCATGCTTCACACACCTGCGACGCGATGGACACTTCACACTAGACAAAATAGAAAAACACATGCGACACGCAAACGACGACTTGACATGCGAGTTGTCAAGACTCGCTAATGTCTTGACCGACACAAACCACATTGTGATACACCATTCAAACAAACACACAAGCACTAGATAGCAATGACATAGACTCACAAGTCATTCCATGCCATGCATGCACACACACACACAAACAAGGACGACAAGCTGAGTACAAGCCATAGGGTTGCACCAACAGTAAACAGCGACATGGGGAGGTAAACAGCGACATGAGAGGGGTAAACAGCAACATCCGAGACGTAACCAGTGCCATGAGAGAGGTAAAGAGCGACACCAGAGGGGTAAACAGCGATATGAGAGGGGTAAACAGAGACACAAGAGATGTAAAAAGCGACATGGGAGAGGTAAACAGAGACATGAGAGAGGTGACCAGCGACATGAGAGAGGTAACCAGCGACATTAGAGGGGTAAACAGCGACATGAGAGAGGTAACCAACAACATGAGAGAGGTAAACAGAAACATTAGAGAGGTAATCAGCGACATGAGAGAGGTAACCAGCGACACGAGAGAGTTAAACAGCGACATGAGACAGGTAACAAGCGACATGAGAGAGGTAACCAGTGACATGAGAGAGGCAAACAGCCACATGAGAGAGGTTACCAGTGACATGAGAGAGGTAAACAGCGACATGAGAGAGGTAAACAGCGACACGAGAGAGGTAAACAGCGACATGAGAGAGGTAAACAGCGATATGAGAGAGGTAAACAGCGACATGAGAGAGGTAAACAGTGACATGAGAGAGGTAACCAGTGACATGAGAGAGGTAACCAGCGACATAAGAGAGGTAACCAGTGACATGAGAGAAGAATAGCAACATGAGATAGTTAACCAGTGACATGAGAGAGGAAAACATCGACATGAGAGGGGTAAACATGCATATGAGAGGGGTAAAGAGTGACATGAGAAAGGTAAACATCGACATAAGAGGGGTAAACAGAGACATGAGAGAGGTGACCAGTGACATGAGAGAGGTAACCAGTGACATGAGAGAGGTAAATAGCCACATGAGAGAGGTTACCAGCGACATGAGAGAGGTAAACAGCGACATGAGAGAGGTAAACAGCGAAACGAGAGAGGTAAACAGCGACATGAGAGGGGTAAACAGCGACATGAGAGAGGTATACAGTGACATGAGAGAGGTAAACAGTGACATGAGAGAGGTAAACAGCGACATGAGAGAGGTAAACAGCGATATGAGAGAGGTAACCAGTGACATGAGAGAGGTAACCAGCAACATAAGAGAGGTAACCAGCAACATGAAACAAGAACAGCAACATGGGATAGTTAACCAGTGACATGAGAGGCAAAAAGCGACATGAGAGAGGTAAACATCGACATGAGAGGGGTAAAAAGCGACATGAGAGAGGTAACCAGCGACATGAGAGAGGTAAACAGCAACATTAGAGAGGTAATTAGCGACATGAGAGAGGTAACCAGCGACATGAGAGAGTAAAACAACGACATGAGACAGGTAACAAGCGACATGAGAGGTGTAACCAGGGACATGAGAGAGGTAAACAGCCACATGAGAGAGGTCACCAGCGACATGAGAGAGGTAAACAGCGACATGAGAGAGGTAAACAGCGACACGAGAGAGGTAAACAGCGACATGAGAGGGGTAAACAGCGTTATGAGAGAGGTATACAGTGACATGAGAGAGGCAAACAGCGACATGAGAGAGGTAAACAGCGACATGAGAGAGGTAACCAGTGACATGAGAGAGGTAACCAGCGACATGAGAGAGTTAACCAGTGACATGAGAGAGGCAAATAGCGACATGAGAGGGGTAAACAGCGACATGAGAGAGGTAAACAGCGACATGAGAGAGTTAACCAGTGACATGAGAGAGCTAGACAGCGACACCAGTGAGGAAAACAGTGACATGAGAGAGGTAACCATCGACATGAGAGAGTAAAACAGCGACATGAGACTGGTAACCAGCGACATGAGAGAGGTAAACAGCGATATAAGAGAGGAAACCTGTTAGAATATACCATGCTATGCTAGTTGTGTATATTGTGTTTACATCCCTAGTTGGGTGTACACCTGTGTTGGGGTGTCAATCCAACCCAATTGTGGCTGGAGCCCCCAAACACAAGGACCACAATTATGGGGGCACCACAAGTGGGTTGCCTAAGCCACTTGTGGTCCACCATACTTGGACCACCTCCCTCTTGTGGTCAACCACATTTGGAAGGATCCTCCCTCCCTTGTGATTGGTCCTAACCCCCCTTTCCCTTCCAACCTTCCCTTCCTAGCTCATCTCTCTCTTCCTATGTAATGCCTTTGCTTGATCAATAAACTCAACATTTCTGTTTCTAACATGGTATAGAGCAATAATGGCTCACGCCAACTTTCAATCCTGATCCTTCCCCACGCTTCCGCCCCATCCCCTTCCGACGTGCATCTCTTTGCCGTCTCCTCCATCGCCGCTGCTAGACTCCTAGCCGCCGCCTCTCTTTCCCTTCACAACTAGTTTTCTGTTGGGTGGATTTTCAAACATCCCCAGTGCGCCAAACGCCATAGCTCTCTCGCTAGTTGACAGAATTGAGTGATTCGACTTGCAAAAGAACGCTCTTGGTGTCAGCTACAACGTCGTAAAATTGCAGACTGATTCACCGTTTTGATTGTTGGATATCGCTTTCCGAAGTTCGCGCACTTTCCTGAATATGATCACGAAGTGGTACTGAAATTTCCACCAAGTCCTACTTTCATCAGCTAAATGCCATCTTTCCCCATCAGCTAACTGCCATCAGCTAGTAGCAGCAGCAGCAGAAGGAGCAGCAGACGCAGCAGCAGCAGCATGAGCAGCAGCAGCAGCAGCATCAGCAGCAGCAGCAGCAGCAGCAGCAGCAGCAGCAGCAGCAGCAGCAGCAGCAGCAGCAGCAGCAGCAGCAGCAGCAGCAGCAGCAGCAGCAGCAGCAGCAGCAGCAGCAGCAGCAGCAGCAGCAGCAGCAGCAGCAGCAGCAGCAGCAGCAGCAGCAGCAGCAGCAGCAGCAGCAGCAGCAGCAGAAAAGGAGCAGCAGCAGCAGCAGCAGCAGCGGCAGCAGCAGCAGCGGCGGCAGCAGCAGCAGAAGCAGCAGCAGCAGCAGCAGCAGCAGCAGTGGGAGCAGCAGCAGTAGCTACAGTCATCCCCATCCTCCCCTCCTCTTTGAGCCGCCGTGGGTCCACCCGCCGCCGCTCCCTCCCAGCCACCGCGGGTCCACCCGCTGTCGCCTTCCTCCCACTCCGTGTCACCAATGGCATCCTTTCCCCCTCCTGTCGACGTTCCGACCCTCGATCATTTGGTGGGCGCTGCCGACAATTCAGCAACCAACTGGTATTCCTTCGTCGGCAGTGCATATGTCCTGCCATTCCGCCTCCTGGACATCATGCTTGGTCTCCCAGAGGGTGACCTTGGGGACCCGCCGCCTCACCCTGGCGATCCCCCCCCTCTCATTCCCCATCCCGGCGAGGAACCTCTGCCCCCCGTGGTACCCGTTGGCACCAGCACTCGCGCTGCCACCGCTGAGGTTGAGCAGCTCTTCGTTACTCAGCGTCGTGAGTTCCTCGTGCTCCATACTGATTACCTGATCGCTTTGGAGGAACACGAGCGGTCGGCCACCCTCCGCAACCAGCATGCCGCTACCGCCGCTGCTTATGCCGCTGACTCTGCGCGATTTGCCGAGCGTCGTCGCGCTTGGCTCGAGGCGGACAGCCGTGCTACTGGTGCCCTTCTCCTTGCCATCCCGCCTGCGCTCATGCGCAACTTCCAGGCACGTCGCATCGGCTCCCGCCAGATCTGGCTCGAGCTTGAGGCGATGTTCGAACGCACCGACTTCGACGCTGTCGGACCGCTCCTCAAGGAATACTTCAGCATCACGATCGAAAATAGTGCTGGCGCCGTTGACTACACCAGCCGTCTCCTGGACCTTGCCTCCCGCCTAGAGGCTCGCCAGACTACTCTCCCCTCCAACCTCCAGATCTACCGTCTCCTCGAAGGCCTCTCCCCTCAGTATGAAGTGCGCGTCATCGCCTTCACCGAGGCTCAGCCCCGTGCCTCCCTTGACACTGTGGTCCAGTGGATCATTGACGCTGAGGCCCGCCTTCTCTCAACCCCCCCCTCCGGCTTGAACTCCACCGAGTCCCCAAACCCCCAGCTTGCTGTTGCACAGCCGCGTCGTGGAGGGCGCCCACGTGGCGGCCGCACCAACCCTCAGGGAGGGGGTGGAGGTGGCGGTTGTGGGGGCAACGGAGCCAGCGGCGGTGGTTGCGGGGTCGAGGGTGGCAGCAGTGGTGGTGGTGGTGGCAGTGGTGGCTCATCTGGTAGCCGTGGTGGCCGCCCTGGCACTCTCCCCCCATGTTCCTATCTTCGCCGTTTTGGTCCCAGGGCGGGTGAGCGCTGCACCCAAACCAACCATCCCCCAACGACCTGCTTCAAAGCGTATGATGACGCCTGGTTCGAGCGCGGCAACACTGGCACACCCCCACGCTGGTCTGCCATGGATCCCCGCCCCTCTCTCCAGGATGTCAAAACTCTTCCGTCTTTCCTCCCCTCTCATCTTCAGCTCGCTTCCTCTTCCTCCTCTATCGCTGACCCCATAATTCCCCAGGAGCTGCAGCAGTTTCGCCGCTTCCAGCAGCTACAGCAGTTTCGCCGCTTCCAGCAGCTGCAGCTGCACCAGCAGCTACAGCTGCCGCAGCAGTGGGGCTCTGGTGGTGAGGCTGCAGCCGCAGCTGCAGGAGCCGCAGCCGCAGCATCTGCATGGCAGCAGCAGCAGCTTGGCTTTGGCACCGCCACCATGGCTGCCACAGCCACAACAGGTCCTCCTGGCTTTCCCCTTTGGGGCTCTCCTTCCCCTAGTGCTCCCACCTCCCACTCCAGCTTTCTAGGCGAGCTCATGCGTTCTTCCCCTGCTTCCCCTTCTATGTATCCCTCTGTTTTTAATGCCAGTGATTTCCAGTACCCCATGTCTTCAGCTCCCTCCTCGCCCACGATAGACTTTGTTCTCGATAGTGGTGCCACTGAAACTGCCCTCAAAGACGCCGGCACCCTCACCTCCCTCCCTTTCCCCACCAACGTTGATGGCGCTGATTCCAGCTTCTCCATCCCTTGCACTCATCTCTCCACCCTCCCCTGCCCCCCCTTCCCCTCCGGAGTGGTCACTGGTCTCCACATTCCCTCCCTTCGTCATAACCTGCTCTCCATCCGTGAACTCCAACAGGCTGGCATCACTACCCTCTTCCCCGCCTCTGCCACCTACTGTGACCTCCTCCACGGCCCCACTCGTCGCCTCCTTCATCGCCTCCCACTTTGCCCTCGCTCTCGTCAGTACATCCTCAGCACACCGCGCCCCTCCTCATGCCACGTGACCACTCGTGCAGGCACCTCCACTCTCCCCCCTCCCCTCCCTCTAGAGCCACCTTCCTCCAACTCCACCTCCCCCCCATGCTCTTGTCGCGCACTGTCCCACCCCGCTGTTCTCATCCACCATCGCCTTGGTCATATGAACTTTTCCACACTTCGTAAAGCCGTCTCCTCCCGCTTGCTTGACGGTCTTCCCCCCACTCTTCCTCCCCTCCCGTCCTCTTCCGCTCCCCCACGCGCCACATGCATTCATGGAAAGCTCAAACAACAACCTCACCTCAGTCATCCTTCCTTTGCTGCTGCCCCCCTTGACCTCGCCCACATGGACCTCTGGGGCCCTAACCCTTCCCCTTCCCGCCAAGGGCACCGGTACATGCTTGTCCTAGTCGACGACCACAGCAGGTACTCCTCGGTGTTCCTTCTCCACACAAAGGCCGAGGCCCCTGCTGTCATCGTTACCTGGGCCGAGCAGTGCCGTGTCCATTTTGGTCGCCCCATCCGCCGCCTCCATTCCGACGGCGGTGGTGAGTTTCTCAACCGCACCCTCTCCTCCTACTGCTCAACCCATGGCATCCAGCAGACTCATACCCTTCCCCACTCCCCTCAGCAGAACGGTGTTGCTGAGAGTCGCATTCGTGAGATCACCAAGACGGCCCGCTGCCTCCTCACTCATGCCTCCACGCCCCCTTCTCTTTGGGGCTATGCCCTTGTCCATACTGCTCTCCTCACTAATCTTTACCCACATCCTCAACGCCAGTCCGTCACTCCCACAGAGCTCTGGGCTAGCACCAAGCCAGATGCTTCCATTCTCCGTATCTGGGGTTGCAAGGCATATGTCCTCATCCCCCCACCTGACCGCTCTCGGCAGGCAGGAAAGCTTGCCTCCAAGGGCATTGAGTGTGTCTACCTTGGCCACGCTCGCTCTGTCCCTGGTTACCTCTTCCTTCACCCGTCCTCAGGCCGCCTCCTACAGAGCCGTGACGTGGTGTTCGATAAGAGCATCCCGTTCTATCATTCTGTTCCGCCTTCCGACCCACTTCCTCCTCTCTCCCGCCCCCTCACCTGGGCTGATGCTGTCATTCCCCCACTCCTTCCCCAGGCTCCCCTCCTTCCTCCAAATCCTGCTCCTCCCCCTCCTCCTTCCTCAGGTGACATTTACGACCCAGCTGTCCCTGACTCCCCTGCTCACTCTGCCTCATCGCACCAGCACCAGCAGCAGCAGCAGCAGGTGCAGCAGCAGCAGCAGGTGCAGCAGCAGCAGCAGCAGCAGCAGCAGCAGCAGCAGCAGCAGCAGCAGCAGCAGGTGCAGCAGCAGCAGCAGCAGGTGCAGCAGCAGCAGCAGCAGCAGCAGCAGCAGCAGCAGCAGCGGATGGAGCAGCAGCGGCAGCAGCAGCAGCAGCGGCAGCAGCAGCAGCAGCAGCAGCATCAGCAGCAGGAGGAGATGTAGCAGCAGCAGCAGATGGAGCAGCAGCAGCAGCAGCAACCACAGGCAGTGCAGCAACAACAGCCGCAGCAGGAGGTGCAGCAGCAACAGCAGCAGCAGCAGCAGCCAGAGCAGCAGCAACCACAGCAGCAACCTCATCGGCATCGCTACACCACCTCTCCGTTCATCCTCACACGCATGCACACTCGCTCTCATGGCCCACTCATAGGCCATCCATGGGGTTGGCCAACACCACCCCCACCCTCCCTTCCCTTCATCGAGGACTCCCATGAGGAGCTCATTGGCGTTCAGCAACAAACACCTTCCCTCACGCCTCTCTACCCGGGCTTCCTTGGCCTCCTCGTCCTTGGCATCGCTACCGCTCCCACCATATTCACCCCGTCCAACTTCCTTGAGGCCATCACCTGCCCCGATGCTGCCAAGTGGATCCAGGCTATCTTTGCTGAATGCGAGGCCTTCATCCGCAATGCCTCATTCATTGACATTGTCCCCTCTCCTGACGAGGTCATTGTTGAAGGCCTGTGGGTGTTCCAAGTGAAGCAGTTGCCGGGTGAGGAGCCGGTCTACAAGGCCCGGTATTGTGCCAAGGGCTTCACCCAGACCCATGGCATCGACTACTGGGAGACATTCTCTCCCACTGCCAAGCTCCCAACTCTCCGTGCCATCCTCGACTATGCTGTTCGCATTGGCATGGAGATTGCCTCCATGGATGTCTCCAACGCCTTCCTGCAAGGCGAGCTCCAGGAGCGGGTCCTCTTGCGGCGGCCTCCAGGCTTTCATGCAGCCTTCCCTCCCAACACAGTCTGGGAACTGCGCCGCCCGGTTTATGGCCTCAAGCAGGCTCCTCGCGAGTGGCACAACAAGCTGGCCGCCACTCTGCAGTCCCTGGGGTTCCATGCCTCTCAGTCTGATGCCAGCCTTTTCCTTCGCTCCTCTCCCACCCGCTTCTTCATCCTGGTGTATGTCGACGACATGATCCTGTTCGCTGACGATGCTGCCGCCATGCAGCAAGTGAAGGACGCCCTGCATGCTCGCCTCAAGTGCAAGGACCTGGGTGAGCTCAAGCACTATCTGGGCATGACCATCACCCGGGACCGCGCATCACGCACCATTACCCTCTCTCAGTCCTTCTACATCGACCAAGTCTTGCAGCGGTTCGACATGGCGCAGGCCAAGCCGGTTACCACTCCCCTGCAGACTGACCACCAGCTTGCCCCTCTTCCTGCTCCCTCCTCCTCTGACCATCCTTACGCTGAGCTCGTCGGTTCGCTGATGTACGCTATGATGTGCACCCGCCCCGACCTTGCCTACCCCATCAGTGTTCTTGCTCGCTTCGTCGGTACCGGTCGTCACACTGATGAGCACTGGGCTGCAGCGAAGCGGGTACTCCGCTACCTCCGTGGTACCAAGGACTATGTCCTCACCCTCGGAGGCTCTTCTCCTCCCCTCCTCTCTGGCTTCAGTGACTCCTCCTGGGCTGACTCCCAGCCAGATCGCCGCTCCTCTCAAGGCTACGGCTTCACCCTTGGCAGCGGCCTCATCAGCTGGCGCTCCACTCGCTCCTCCTCCATCGCCCTCTCATCCTGCGAGGCTGAGCTCTATGCTTGCACCATGGCCGCTCAGGAGGCTCGCTGGCTCACCTTCCTCCTTGCTGAGATCGGTGCTCCTCAGCGCTGTCCCACCCTCTGGTGCGACAACGCCAGCACCATCCATCTCACAAAGGACCCTGTCTTCCATGGCCGCTCCAAGCACATTGCACTCCGCTACTTCTTCGTTCGGGAGTTGGTCCAGCAAGGTCACTTGGTGGTCCGCAAGATCGCTGCAGAGGCCAACTTGGCCGACATCTTCACCAAGGCCCTCCCGAAGACCGCGCAGTCTGCCCTTCTCCGCCTTCTCAGCCTTGGGCCCCGCCCCCCTTCCTGATTCTGGGGTTGTCCATTATATATACACTAGCTTTGCATGCTATGGGGTTGTGTTAGAATATACCATCCTATGCTAGTTGTGTATATTGTGTTTACATCCCTAGTTGGGTGTACACCTGTGTTGGGGTGTCAATCCAACCCAATTGTGGTTGGAGCCCCCAAACACAAGGACCACAATTATGGGGGCACCACAAGTGGGTTGCCTAAGCCACTTGTGGTCCACCATACTTGGACCACCTCCCACTTGTGGTCAATCACATTTGGAAGGATCCTCCCTCCCTTGTGATTGGTCCTAACCCCCCCTTCCCTTCCAACCTTCCCTTCCTAGCTCATCTCTCTCTTCCTATCTAATGCCTTTGCTTGATCAATAAACTCAACATTTCTGTTTCTAACAAAACCAGCAACGTGAAAGAGGTAAACAGCGATATGAGAGAGGTAAACAGTGACATAAGAGAGTTAACCCGCAACATGAGAGAGGAAACCAGAGACATGAGAGAGGTAACCAGCAAGATGAGAGAGGTAACCAGCGACATGAGAGAGGTAAGCAGCGATTTAAGAGAGGTACATTGCGACATGAGCGAGATAAACAGCGACATGAGAGTGATAACCAGCAACAAATGAGAGGTGACCAGCTACATGAGAGAGGTAACCAGCGACATGGCTGAGGTAAACTGTGACATGAGAGAGGTAAATAGCGGCATGAGAAAGGTAACTAGCAACATGAGAGAGGTAATCAGCGACATGAGAGAGGTAACCAGTGACATGAGAGAGGTAACCTGCGACATGAGAGAAGTAACAGCTACATGAGAGTGGTAACCTGCGACATCAGAAAGGTAAACAACGACATGACATGAGAGAGGTAACCAGCAACATGAGAGAGGTAAATAGCGACATGAGAGAGGTAAACAGCGACATGAGAGAGGTAAACAACGACATGAGAGAGGTAAACAGCGACTTGAGAAGGTATCCAGCGACATGAGGGAGGTAACGAGCGACATGAGAGAGGTAAACAACGACATGAGAGAGGTAAACAGCGACATGAGAAAGGTAACCAGCGACATGAGAGAGGCAACAACAACATGAGAGAGGTAACAGGGAATTGAGAAAGGTAACCAGCGACATGAGAGAGGTAACCAGCAACATGAAAGAGGTAAACAGCGACATGAGAGTGGTGAACAGCGACATGAGAGACATAACGAGCGACATGAGAGAGGTAACCAGCGACATGAGAGAGGTAAACAGCGACATGAGAGAGGTAAACAGCGATATAAGAGAGGTAAACAGCGACATGAGAGAGGTAACTAGCAACATGTGACAGGTAACCAGCGACATGAGAGAGGTAACCAATGACATAAGAGAGGTAAACAGCGACATGAGAGAGGTAACCAGCGACATGAGAGGGAACAGCGACATGAGAGAGGTAACCAGCGACATGAAAGATGTAATTAGTAACCTGTGACAGGTAACCAGCGACATGAGAGAGGTAACCAGCGGAATGAGAGAGGTAAACTGTGACATGAGAGAGGTAACCAGCGACATAAGAGAGGTAAACAGCAACATGAAAGAGGTAACCACCAACGCGAAATAATTTAGCAGCAACATCAGAGTGGTAAAAATCCACATGAGAGAGGTAAACAGCGAACTCAGAGAGGTAACCAGTGACGTGAGAACGTTAAATGGCGACATGAGAGAGGTAAACAACGACATAAGAGAGCTAACCAGCAACATGAGAGAGGAAACCAGCGATAGAAAGAGGTAAACAGCGACATGACAGTGGTAAACAGCGACATGAGAGAGGTAACCAGTGACAGACGCTCATGGGACGATGACCAGACTGACAGACGCTCCTCCCAAGGGTGCTGCTTCACCCTTGGTAGCGGAGTCATAAGCTGGCGCTCCACTCGGTCCTCTGCAGTCTCCCTGTCGTCCTGCAAGGCCGAGCTCTACGCGGGCACAATGGCTGCTCAAGAGGCACGCTGGCTCTCCTTTCTCCTCGCTGAGTTAGGCTACCCCCAGCAGTCGCCCACCCTGTGGTGTGACAACCAGAGTGCCATTCACCTCACCAAGGATCCTGTGTTCCACTCTCGCACCAAGCACATCGAACTTCGTCATTTCTTCATCCGAGATCTTGTTAAGAGTGACCAGCTGACGGTACGGTACATCGCCTCAGCTTGCAACCTCGCCGACCTCTTTACCAAGGGTCTCGGCAAGGCTGACCACCATCGTTTTCTCCGTTCCATGGGGCTATGTGCTCCTTGATCAGGTTTGCAGTCTATGGGGGTGTGTTAGAAATAGACTGCAAATACCACTTTTGTATTTGTACTTTTATATCCTAGTTTAGGTTATGAATGTTCTAGTGGGTTGGGGTGTACTCACAAATCCCAACCTCACCCAATTGTGATCCCCCCAATCTCCAATTACCCAATTGGAGATTCCGGAGATCCCAATAGGGATTCCCTCCGATTCCCCCCTTCATTCATTCTCTCTCACCTTGCCATGTACTTATAGAGCCTTGGGCTCCTTACCTAATCAATCATTTTCAACTTTATTTCTTACAGTAACCAGTGACACGAGAGAGGTAAGCATCGACATGAGAGAGGTAACCAGCACATGAGAGAGGTAAATTGCGGCATGAGAGAGGTAACTAGCGACATGAGAGAGTTAAACAGCGACATGAGAGAGGTAAACATTGACAGAAGAGAGGTAACCAGCAACATGAGAGGAGGTAACCAGCAACATGAGAGAGGTAACCTGTGACATGAGAGAGGTAACCATTGACATGAGAGTGGTAAACAGCGACATGAGAGAGGTAACCAGCGACATGAGAGAGGTAAACAGCGACATGAGAGAGGTCAACAGAGACATCAGAGAGGTAAGTAGTGACATGAGAGAGGTAAACAGTGACATGCAAGAGGTCAACAGCGACATGAGAAAGGTAAGCAGTGCCATGAGAGAGGTAAAAAGTGAGATGTGAGAGGTAAATAGCGACATGAGAGTGGTCAACCGCGACATGAGAGACGTAACCAGCGACATAAGAGTTGTAAACAGCGATAAAAGAGAGGTACACAGCGACATGAGAGAGGTAACCAGCAACATGAGAGAGGTAACCAGCAACATCAGATATTTAAACAGCGACATGATAGAGGTCAACAGCGATATGAGAGAGGTAACCAGGGACATGACAGAGGTAAACAGTGACATGTGAGAGGTAAACTGTGACATGTGAGAGGTAAACAGCGACATGAGAGCGGTAATCAGCGAAATGAGAGAGGTAACCAGCGACATGTGAGGGGTAAACAGTGACATGAGAGAGGTAAACAGCGTTATGAGAGAGGTAAACAGCGACTTTAGAGAGGTAAACAGCGACATGAGAGAGGTAAACAGCGATACCAAAGAGGTAAACATCGACATGAGAGAGGTAACTGTAAGAAATAGAGTTGAAATGATTAATTAGGTAAGGAGCCCAAGGCTCTATAAGTACATGGCAAGGTGAGAGTGAATGGATGAAGGGGGAATTGGAGAGAATCCCCATTGGGATCTCCGGAATCTCCAATTGGGTAATTGGAGATTGTGGGGATCACAATTGGGTGAGGTTGGGATTTGTGAGTACACCCCAACCCACTAGAAAATTCATAACCTAAACTAGGCTAGAGAAGTACAAATACAAAGGTGGTATTTGCAGTCTATTTCTAACACACCCCCATAGACTGCAAACCTGATCAAGGAGCACATAGCCCCATGGAACGGAGAAAACGATGGTGGTCAGCCTTGCCGAGACCCTTGGTAAAGAGGTCGGCGAGGTTGCAATCTGAGGCGATGTACCGTACCGTCAGCTGGTCACTCTTAACAAGATCTCGGATGAAGAAATGACGAAGTTCGATGTGCTTGGTGCGAGAGTGGAACACAGGATCCTTGGTGAGGTGAATGGCACTCTGGTTGTCACACCACAGGGTGGGCGACTGCTGGGGGTAGCCTAACTCAGCGAGGAGAAAGGAGAGCCAGCGTGCCTCTTGAGCAGCCATTGTGCCTGCGTAGAGCTCGGCCCCGCAGGACGACAGGGAGACTGCAGAGGACCGAGTGGAGCGCCAGCTGATGACTCCGTACCAAGATTGAAGCAGTACCCTTGGGAGGAGCGTCTGTCAGTCTGGTCATCGGCCCATGAGGAGTCTGTGTATCCCTCGAGCTTGACTGGAGAGGTACCACCAAGAGTGAGGATGTGAGACTTGGTGGCTTGTAGATAGCGGAGGACCCTCTTGGCTGCAGACCAATGCGAGGCAGTGTAGCGTCCGGGGGAGACGTACCGAGAGAGGAAACTAACCGGGTAAGCCAAGTCTGGTCGAGTGCACATCATGGCATACATGAGTGAACCGACTACCTCAGGGTAGGGGTCCTTGTAGGCGTCAGGAGAAGGAACTGGAGGGGCCGTGAGCTGATGCTGTAGTGGGAGTGGAGTGGAGACAGAGTTACTGGAGTCCATGTCGAACCGCTTGAGAAGGTTGTCGATGTAGGACTCCTGGGAGAGCGTGATCGTGCAAGCCTGGCGGTCACGAGTGATCTCCATCCCC